ACCAGCCCTGGTTGGTCATGCGGGTGGTAGCCACTCGATGTGTCTCTTTCACGTCAATGTTTTTCTCTCTCTCTCTGTCAATGTTTCTCTCTCTCTCTCTCTCTCTCTCTCTCTCTCTCTCTCTCTCCTTCTCTCTCCCTCCCACTCTATCTGAACAAAAAATGGAAGGATGTCCTTGAGTGAAGATAAAAAAAAAAAAAAAAAGAAGTGGAATTTAGGAGGTCAATGTGGCCTTGGTCTCCCTGAGGGGAGGGCTGGACCATCTAATATTCAGTGAATGCCTTAAATGCTAGGAGATACTAGGAGCTGGGGCTGTAATATTAAAAATGAGAAGAAATGTCCACAGGTGGTAAGTCCCCTGAGACCCAGACTGGGGAATACCAGGAATGCAAATTACAGAATGGGGATGTGAGTAACCAGACCCTTGTTAATCAGCCCTCCCCACTGTCCTGCCCAGCTGTTCTCTAAATGCTCTCTGGGAAGGAGGATCTAAAGCAGGGATGGGTGGAGGTCATCAAAGAAAGTAGGAATGGAGGAATAAGAAATGGAGTGGAAGACAAAGAAGGCTAGAAAAACTAAGGAGTTTGGTTACTAAAGATCATGAACAGTGATTTCTGACATCTATGTAATATAACAGAATTTTTTCTAAGGAAAAATCATGGTGAGAGTTTAGTTCTATGGAGTACTTTGACTCTGGTTATAGGTTTATAAAAAGCTACGACTGATTGGGGATTAGGGGCGGAAGAGAGATGAGATATGATGCCTGACAGATTTCTGAAAGTCTGTGACACAAAAAGAAGGGAAGAGGGAAGAGAGGTGTCAGCAAGATGGTCAGTGCCTTTACTGCCTTGTAGGGTAGCTAGACCACTGACTAATCTCAGGGGTGGAAAGGACCATTAAGATCAAGAACATGCAAGCAGAGAATCAAATCAGAGATAGGGAAGATAAGGAAGCAGAACACCCAATCAGAACAGAAAAAATAAAATAAAAAGAATCCAAAAAATGAGAACAGTGTAAGGAACCTCTGGAACAACTTAAAGCATACCAACATTTGCATCATGGGGGTTCCAGAAGGAGAAGAGAGAAAGCAAGAAATTGAAAACCTATTTGAAAATGAAAGAAAACTTCCCTAACTTGGTGAAGAAAATAGACATACAAGTCTAGGAAGTGTAGAGTCCCAAACAAGATGAACTCAAAGAGGTCCACACCAATTAAAATGCCAAAGGTTAAAGATGAGAGAATCTTAAAAGCAGCAAGAGAAAAGCAATCAATTAAAAAAAAAAAAAATCTCTCTAAAAAAAGGCAATAAATACATACCTATCAACAATTGAATATAAAAAGCAGAATGAAACAGACTTATAGATACAGAGAACATTTTGATGGTTGCCAGATGGGAAGGGGGTTGGAGGAATAGGTGAAAAAGGTGAAAGGATTAAGTACAAATTGGACCCTGGCTGGTTTGGCTCAGTGGTTAGATCGTCGGCCCACACACCAAAGAAGTACAAATTGGTTGTTACAGAATAGTCACGGGGTCTACGGCCATACCACCCTGAACGCGCCGGATCTCGTCTGATCTCGGAAGCTAAGCAGGGTCGGGAGTACTTGGATGGGAGAATAGTCATGGGGATGTAAAGTACAGCATAGGGAATATAGTTAGTAATAGTCTAGTAACTATGTATGGTGTCAGATGGGTGCAAGATTTATTGGAATGATTATTTAGTAAGTTATGTAATATGTAATCACTGGGGTGTACACTTAAAACTAATATAATAAAGTATGTCAAATACAATTTAAAAAGAACAAGAATATGCAAAATGCAATCTTAAATTGTATCCTTATGATATATAAAGCTTCAGTAAAAATTTTGTCACACCTAACAGTCTCCTGTTTACAGCTGGTTTGTAGGAAAATTAAAAGAAGTCCTGTATCCCGCCCTGGCCGGTTTGGCTCAGCAGTTAGAGGGTCAGCCCGCGGACCAGGGAGGCCTGGGTTCAGTTCCCGCTAACGGCACGTACCTTTGTTGCAGTTTTTCCCCGGCCCATCGTGTGGGTGGCAACCACTCGATGTGTCTTCTTCTCTCTTCCCCCCTCTCTCCCTCCTTCTCTATCTGAAGATAAATGCAAAAAAAAAAAAAAAAAAAAATATATATATATATATATATATATATATATCCTCAGGTGAGGATAAAAAAAAAAGAAAGTCCTGTATCCCAAATTTGGGACCTATCACAGGGCAAAAGTAAGGGAATAGCCAGGAGCAGAGAAGAAAAAACAAGACTTCAGCTGAAACAGGAATCAGAACCAGAGGTGACCATAACACTGGACCCACAGGGATTTGTGACAGTCAACAGTCCCACCTCCTCCCCACTATGCCCAGGGCCTGCACTGATTGGAATGCAAGGACTATCTCCTCCACCCCAAGCTTTTTTTTTCTTTATTGATTTTAGAAAGAGGAAGGGAAAAGCAGAGAGAGATAGAAACATCAATGAGAGAGAACATTGATTGGCCGCCTCCTGCATGCCCCACCCTGGGGATTTGGCCCACAACCTGGGCGTGTACCCTGACCAGGAATCAAACCAGTGACCTCTTGATGCATTGGTCAACGCTCAACTAATAGACCACACCAGCCAGGCAGCAAGGACTATTTTTCTAGATATTAAGGAACAGGGTGACCCCAGCTGACATGCAGGCTATATAGTCACTGCTCCAGACTGAGGGTTTGGTCAAGACCTCTCAAAAGTAATAAAAGTCATCAAAAGAGAGGCTTCTGGCCTGGCCAGTGTGGCTCAGTGGTTGAGTGTCAACCCATGTACCAAGAGGTTGCCGATTTGATTCCCTGTTGAGGTACGTGCCCTGGTTGTAGGCCAAATCCCCAGTGGGGGGCATGCAGGAGGCAATCAATTGATATTCTCTCATTGATGTTTCTATCTCTCTGTCCCTCTCCCTTCCTCTCTCTCTAAAATCAATAAAGAAAAAAAGAGAGAGAGAGAGAGACTTCTGAGGACCTATCTCTGGTGATGCAAGAAAAGAAGGGAGCTGTTGAAAAACACCATATATCTATGCCAGACAAGTGTGAAAGCTGAACCACAAAGAGAAAGAGGAGATGGAAGATTTTGAAGGAGTGGTCAGCAGGTTGCACTTGTGGGGCCTGTAGACAAAAGGAAAAGACTGTCCAGGAAGCCAGCCTAGGACAGGCCAATGCTCACCAGAAGTTGATGCAAACAGCACAGAAGCCCTAACCGGTTTGGCTCAGCAGTTAGAGAGTCAACCCTTGGACTGAAGGGTCATGGGTTCAATTCACAGTCAAGGGCACATACCTGGGTTGCAGGTTCAATGCCCAGTACTGGTCCGAGTCATGCAGGAAGCAACCAATTGATGTGTCTCTCTCACATCAATGTTTCTCTCTCTCTCTCCCTCCCTTCCACTTTTATCTAAAAGTCAATGGACAATATATCCTCCGGTAAGGTTTAACAAAAAAATGTTTAAAAAAAAGAAAAAAAAACCAGCACAGAAAGCAGGAGCATAGTAAGGTCCAGAAACCTGGCTTTTCGCCTCCCCACCAGGGTACTCCAGGAGAGCCAGACAGACCCTGCTCCTGCCCTTTCCCCAGTAGAGAAGTGGGGACATGGGCAAAAGAGGGGACATGGTTCTTGGCACAAAGAACACAGGCCTCACGTGGGTGAGGAGCTGAGTCTAACCAAGTTGTTAGTCCTCTGTGTCCTCCAATTACCCCTTTGGCAAGTTTCTCTTTAAAGGTCCCCAACTCATCATTCCTCTAGGGTAACCCATCCCCACAGGATCCCACCTCTCTATGGCCTCCTTGATGGACAGGAGGAGATAGTGATCATGATCTGGGACTGGGGCAGGACTATTAGTGACAGCAAAGTCCTCAGATCCCAAAGTTAACATTCTGATGTGGGAATTTGGACACCAGCCCAACAGTGAAAAGGATGGCTTTGCCTAAGTAACTATTCAAATTACATACATGTATGGCTTCCTAATAGAGAACCCCCCAGAAGACTACAGGGGGTCAGGGAAAGGCAAGAGGATGGAAAATATGAAGAAAAAGGAAACTAAAGAGTAAGAAAGAGAAAGATACAACAAGTGAGATTACAGAGCTGTGACATTTTATGGGCTCTGTGGAAACAAATGCAAAGCTGCTAAATGAAAAATGGCCTCGAGAAATGAGCAACCCCACACCTCAATTCATAGGGAAAGAGGAAGGAAACTCTGTCTGACCCATGTATTCACAGGACTCAGAGGAAAATTCCAGCTGTTTCCAATATTCCCTAAACCATAGAAATAGGAAAGAGATGATCCACAGGCTTATAGGGGAGAGGCCCTGGGAGCTCCTGGACATCGGTGATTGATACATCCAGAGGTGGAAAGGGGAAGATGAAGGTTAGTGGGGCGAGGAGAGAAAGACAGAGGGGCAGTGGGTGATACCTGTATCACAGACTGGCAGGAAAACAAAACGAGATCATATGTGATCCCCTAGCACAGAGTGTGATAGAGGTTTAAGTCCCTTGTCTGCCATCCTAGCGCTCCCAGAGCAAACTCTTTTGGCCACAGAACCAGACCCAGCTGATGCAAGGCTAGCTATATAGTCATTACTCACCCCACTTAGTTTAAACATTCACTGTATTGCTGCAGGAATGCTGCACTTGATTGTGATTGCTACCCCAGTCCCATGAGGGTGTGTTGTGGTGCTAGTTTCTTCCCCAAGTCTGAAAAATTTGGAATTCTAAAACTTACCTGGTCCCATTTCAGACATTTAGTTCTGATTCCCCTTCCTTTTCTTACCTCTGTGAAAAAAGCAACTTATCCTCTGTGGGGTTGGGAGAGGGGACATGCCAATTAGCATGAACCCTGAATAGGGCTACAAAGTGGGCATCTTTGTGCACAAGTGTGTGACTAAGAGAGGTGGTGACTGCACAGTCAACACTTTATAAAAGAGGCAGGCACAGGTGGGTTAAATTCTCCCTGAGCACAAGAGACGGAAATGAAGTTGCCTGTTGGAGGGGATAACTTTAAAGAGCGGCAGATCTTGTGACAGTTTGCTCTTTAACAACTCTCCCCAGCACCCTGCACCCAGCACCCAACACGCAGAAAGGGTGGAGGGGTAAGAGGTTGCTGCTGTATAAGAAAAAAAAGCAAAGAAGAAAAAAAAAACACCTACAGCTGCTGCCCAAGAGGTGCAAAGAGGAGGAAACAGCGCCCAGCACAAAGGCCAGCAGTTAGCGACTGGAGCACAGAAAGAGCTCCCTGGGCAGAAGCCATGGCCTGGCCACCTTACCGCTGGCTGTGGGTTCTGGCGACTCTGGCAGGGCTTTCAGCTACCCCAGGCCCCAGGAGCTGCCCAGAGAAGCACTACTGGGCTCAGGGAAGACTGTGTTGCCAAATGTGTGAACCAGGTAAGAGAGGAGGCCTTGGCAGGGAAGGCTACCGGTGAGAGAGGACTGGGTTGGGGGAAGGGAAGCAGACACTCCAGCAAGGAGAGGAATCCTGCAGCACCTGAGGCACCACACTGCAGAGGACAGAGAAGCAGCCTCCCTTGAGCCTTGACCCTGGACCTCTTCTGGCTCACAGGAACATTCCTCAAGAAGCACTGTGATGGGAACAGAAAGGCTGCTCAGTGTGACCCATGTATACCAGGGATCTCCTTCTCACCAGACCACAACTCCCGACCCCACTGTGAGAACTGCCGGCACTGTAACTCTGGTGAGATGGGCAAGCATTTGGGGAGCAAGGTGGCAGAGCTGGGTAAGGAAGAGCAAAGAGGGGGTAGAGTCAGAGCTTCAGGTGCTTCAAGGTTACAGCAAGTGGAACCAATGCTGGGAAAGGGGGCACTCTGGGAGTGGGCATGTTGATGTGATGGGAGAACTCTAGTGTTTAGGGAAGGAGTAAGCAAAATTTGAGGGACTGCTGAGAATGAGTCTATGGTTGGCATCAAGACAATAAAAACCAGGAAGTAGCTCTAGGACCCCTGATTTCAGCAGAGCAACTGCACATACATACATTCCTGAATGAATTGGGTTTGAAGTGCACATTGCTTGAAACTTTTTCTTTTTTTTTTTTTATCCTCACCTGAGGACATTTTTCTATTTTTTGTTCAGGTGAAGTGGGAAGGAGAGAGGGGAAGAGAGAGAGAAACATCGACGTGAAAGGGACACATCAAGTGGCTGCCACCAACCAACCAGGGCCAGGGACAAACTGCAACCGAGGAACGCGCCCTTGGGGAACCAAACCGAGGTCTCTCTGGACTGCAGGCCGACGCTCTAACTGCTGAGCCAAACCGGCCAGGGCCAATACATCTTTTTCAGGACATAATACCAGCCAGTAGATAACAACCATTCTTTGAACAAAAGCCAAATGAGGAAAACAATGTGTTTGTGGCTTTTTTTCTTATTTTGTAATTTCATTTTTTTTAAAAGTAAGATGTATATCTGTGGCTGTGTTAGGAATCCTTTATTATTTCTCCATTTTAGCTAGAATTTAAGAAATGATGTGCCAGCATACGTAGTGTAGCAGATTTTAAAGTGGATGCTTTAAACAGATGTCCTGCTGTCCTGCAAATCAACTACTCCACTAGTTGCCTGTAAAATGTGTTTGGTCTCACTAGGCTTTTAACACTGTATTCTTTAAAAACTAAATAAAAAAGTTTTTGCCATTGCAAATCAAACAGCAACATCTAAAATACACAAGCATCCCTCAGTCCAGTTAACTTAAAAATATGATTGTTAACAGATGTTTTTCTCTTCTTGAAAGCAACCCCAGCACGGTTGAAAGGTTTTTTTTGTTTTTTTTGTGTTGTTGTTGTTTTTCTGTTCTGATCCTCACCTGAGGACATTTTTTCATTTATCTTTAGACAGATTAGGAGGGAGAGAGAGAGAAAAAAACACCAATGTGAGAGACACATCAACTGGTTGCCACCCGCGCAACCCGGGCCAGGGACGAACCGCAAGCGAGGTATGTGCCCGGGTCTCGTTGGTCTGCGGGGATGCTCTAACTGCTGAGCCAAACCGGCCAGGGTTGAAAATTTTTAATTCAAAACCTGCCCCACGAACTCAGCAGGCCCCACCACAAAGCCTTTCCCAGTACTGAGCCAGTCTATACTCCCTTCGCTATGTTCCAGCCCAGCTCAATCCATGATCCATTTCTGTGAAACACAGCCCCGAGGTTCCCCAAAGCACCCAGGCAGCACCTGTCTGCAGGACTGGGGGCGGGGAGACGGGAACAGGGAGGAGGCGGAGTGAGTTTGGTCCTCTTCAACCTCAGTATTCCCATCTGTAAAATAGAGAAGTATCAGGTACCTGCCTGGAATTTTGTTCACGGGTTATTCATGGTGAAAAAAACACCTTAGGTCTCTGGTTACTCATCACTAAAAATGGCACTTCAACCATTTTTACCCAATCCCAGGCCCTTCTTTAGCCTTTTCCTTTCTTTTTGACAGACACCCTCATGATCACCCCCTATTAGTCACCTTCTGTTTAAACTGGTGCTGATTATACCTGAGTCCAATTGGTACCAACATCTCAAGTTTTACACTTGTAATATGTATAGCTCTCTATAAGTATATTATAATTCAATTGTAAAAGTCTCAGTGAGAGCCCTGGCCAGTTTGGCTCAGCGGTTAGAGCATCGGCCTGTGGCCAGAGAGACCTGGGTTCAGTTCCTGCTAAGGGCATGTAACCTCAGTTGCAGTCTGTCCCCGGCCCTGGTTGGGTCGTGCGGGTGGCAACCACTCGATGTGTCCCTTTCACATCGATGTTTCTCTCTCTCCCTCCCACTCTATCTGAACGAAAAATGGAAAAATGTCCTCAGGCGAGGATAAAAAATAAAATAAAAAAATTTTTTTAAAGTCTTAGTGACTCAGAACCATGAATTTTCTAAAAGGTCCAAGTTTTCCCTTAATCACAATAATACTAACGGCAAAGGTACTGGGTGATGGTGAGGGAGGGGGCGGCCTTTGTTGGGGCGATGTGGGCCTAGGGGAGAGGATTAAGCAAGTAGAGCCTGCAGGTCTCTGAGGCCTGAGCATGTTGTGTTCCTCCGGCCTCCTCTGTCTCCAGGTCATCGCATTCGAAACTGTACCCCCACTGCCAACGCTGTGTGTGCCTGCCCCAAGGGCTGGGAGTGCAGGGACGAGGAGTGCACTGAGTGTGATCCTGCTCCAAAGCCCTCGCAGACCCCTCATCTACTGCAGGCCCCAGGCCCACACCCACACTCCACCCACTTACCTCACACTGGAAGTAAGTTCCAGGAAACTCTTTGTCCAGTCACTTGGGGTAAGGGTCACCCTCAAGTACCACCCCTTCTGTGCCAACCCCCACATAAGTTGCCTGGTTGGCCCGTCTTTGCCTTTCCATCTCATCAAATGCTTCTCAGGCCTCTTAGGCTTTCCCTGTAGGCTTCCTGCTGCTGCTCACCCTATCTCTGTCTTTCCAGAGATGCTGGAGGCCAGGACAGCCAGGCACAAGCAGACTCTGGCTGACTGCAGTCCACCTGCCCCTGCTCTCTCAACTCAATGGCCACGTGAGTTTTCTCCATATTCCCTACTCCAAGAGAGAATGTATATGGGAGAGTCCAAGAGAGAAGCCAGCCAGAAAGCTCCTAGAAGTGGAGAAGAGCAGAGTTTAGGGACGAGGAAAGGACTTGGTCCCATGGTGGGGTCAGGGGAGGAGGAGAGAGGCAGGGATGAAGAGAGGCCTGGGCTGAGGGGAATCAAGGTTGAGGCCCTCCCCCAAATCCCTTGTGTGGCCCCTGCCTATCACAGCCCAGAGGTCCCTGTGCAGCTCAGATTGCATCCGCATCTTTGTGATCCTGTCTGGAATGTTTCTTGTTTGCACCACGGCCGGAGCCCTGTTCCTCCATCAACAAAGAAAATATGGACTAAGTAAGAGACAAAACACAGTCTCCAGTCCTGTCCCTGACCCCACCCCACCTTCTCAGCCCTGCCACCCATGCTTGGGACGTTGTGGAAGCCTCCCTAGCTCCATCTTATCAACTCTGGCTTCTGCCTAGTCTTCCTCTCCTCTTAGCTGAGGCCTTCCTGACAGCCCTCCCCCAAGCTTACCTCCTTTGCTAATCTCTTCTCCCTTAACCCCCTCCCCTGACCAGTGGCCAAGATTCATCTGTTTCTGCTTCTGCAGACAAAGGAGAAAGTCCAGTGGCGCCTGCTGAGCCTTGTCCTTACAGCTGTCCCAGGGAGGAGGAAGGTGATGCCATCCCCATTCAGGAGGATTACCGAAAACCTGAGCCTGCTTCCTACCTCTGAGCTGGCACTCCCCAGAGTGGGGTCATCACTGCAATAAAGGCCTAGCCTCCATCACCCCCCACCGACTACCCAAAGGCAATGAGACCCAGGACCCCCAATTTCAGTACCATGCTCTCATCAGGACCCTTTCCTGAGTGCAGACTTGAGAAAGTGCCTTTCAAGACTGGCAGAGACAAGGGAGGTGGAGGGTGGAAAGCAGGATGTGTTCTGGCCCAGCCAGCTTCACCTCCGTGCCGGAGTTCCAGCTGTAAAACACACATCAGCCTACAGAAGCCCCATGTGCTGGATCTAGAAAGTCAGCAAAATAAAGTGACAGACTGCCACACACAGCCTCTCTGAAATTCCAACCTCACAAAGCAGGCCACTCCCAGCCTCATCTCCAAGGGAGGAGCTTTCTCCGAAGCTGACTTGTGATGGGGCCTGCCCAACAGGAGGGGAGGGGCGAGAGGAGGTGTGGTACCAACAGAAAATGAGAAAAGCTTCCCAGACTGCGCGGGTTCCCACTTCTAGCTTTGGTCTCTCCCCCCCACCCCACCTCCTCTTCCCTACATCTCCACTTTCTTGGGGCTGGTGGGGAGCCAAAGGGTGCATGCAGGGAAATCAGGTCTTGAACTCACCAGAGGATTACGGGGGGTGGAGGGGTTGGAAAGAACAGTGAACAGGTTTCTGGCACCAGCAACAAATGGCTACACCCAGAGGCAAAGGCAGCCGCAGTGGCACTTCCTCAAAGTGAAAGTGAAAGAGAAGTAAGCAGAGGACAGAAGAGAAACCCACTGGCTGTCGGCCACCAAGGGGTGTTTGGAGAGACCCCTCTTCTCCGACAGAGACCTTGCAAGCAGGGAGGCTGTGGAGGGCAGCAGAGGAGGGCCTGAGAGCAGCCCCCATGGGCGCAAAGGGGTGGTGCCTGCTGCTCTGCTTGGCTCTGTCCGGAGGAGCTGCAGACACCGGTGAGTGGGGAGCAGGCTGGAGGGCAGTGTTGGGCCGGGGAAGCACCAGATGGCCACACTCCCGGATTACAGAAGGGGAAAGGAGCCAATTGCTTCTAAGCCCAACAGGAGAAAGGCGTAGTGGCTGACAAAGGAACTACTTATATTGGGGAGAGAGGCTGAGAACGGTGGGGGAAAGGACAAATGAAAGAGGGGCTTTCACAGTGAATGTGGTAGGGGCCACTGTCCTACGGGAGAGGGGACACCTTCAGAAAAGGAAGGAAGGAGACCCCAGGGGGGAGAGGGGAAGGCCACAGGTTACGGCGGAGAGCAGAGCAGACCTGTGGGCTGGCTAGGAAATCGAGAAGATGGCTGCCAGCACCCCTAGGCTGCACGAATGTCCGTCTTCTCGCCCAATGGCAATGTTGCTCCTTTATTTGCTTTTGCTGAGAATTCCTTAGCTTGAAAATAGTTTCTCATTTGATGGGTGGAAATAAAAGTGAAAACATAAACCCATCTGAGCAAGGAAAATCCAGGACTTTAAATAACTCACACCAAGAAGTATGTCGCTGGAAAGGCAGGTGCTTCCCAGAAAGCTGATCTGGGAGATGACAAGAGAGGGACACAGAGAGCTAGGACCCTGGAAGACAACTTTTACCCTTGATGACTTCACAGTTAGGGGCAGGGAGTGAGTACAAAAATAACTTTCTGGCCCCAGCCAGTGTGACTCAGTAGTTAGAGCATCGGCTTGCACATGGAAGGGTCACAGGTTCGATTCCCAATCAAGGGCACATACCTGGGTTGCAGGTTCAACCCACAGCTCTGGTCAGGGTGCATGTGGGAGGCAACCAATTGATGTCTCTCTCTCTCACATCGATGTTTCTCTCTCCCCACCTCCCACTCTCTCTAAAAAATTAATGGAAAAAATATCCTCAAGTGAGAATTAACAAAAAGAACTTCCTGGGCGGGAGGGTGGGGCTTCAGCCGTCTTTTCCCTGCAGCAGAAAGGCAGTGGCGGGCAGTGGACGTGGTCTTGGACTGCTTCTTGGTGGAGGAAGGGAAGTACCGTGGAGGTTTTGTCAGTGATAAGAACGTGGTGAAGGCCTTGCTGGTGCTGAGGCAGGTGCCAGTGCTGGACGATGGCTCCCTGGAAGGCTTCACCGATTTCCAAGTGAGCACACTGGCCAAAGACAACCCACTTGTTACCTTTGAGGCCTCAGGTAAGAGCCACCACCCTGCGTCCCAGTCCTTCTGGCCTCCCTCCATTGGGACAGCCCGGTTCCCAGTACACCCACCTTCATCCGCTTCCTAGGTTCTCAATCCAGTTCAACCTCTGCACCGCCTTTCTCCCCCAGTGAACCTGGTACAGATTCCCCACGCAAAGGCCTTGCTCCATGCTGACTGCAGCGAGAAGGAGGTGACCTGTGACATCTCCCGCTATTTTCTCCAGGCCAGACAAGAGGCCACTTTTGAGACAGCAGCTTGGTTCCTCACCAACATGCAGGTGTCTGGAGGGGGACCCAGTGTCTCCATTGTGATGAAGACTCTCGGGGATGCTGAGAACAGGGCTGTCTCACCTTCCAAGCTGGACCTGCCCCTGGGCCCTCAGGGGACTGTGCTGACTACAGGTGAGAAAATGAAAAGTAGTAGAAAGTTTTGTTTTGTTTATTAAGCGGTCAGAGATGGAATAATAGAAGAAGAAGAAAGGGAGCAAGTCCACCTCCATCCACATCGGTCATCTCAGGGTGTCCCCTCAACTTCGGTCCTTTCTTTCTTTTTTAAATATATTTTATTGATTTTTTTAGAGAGAGAGGAAGGGAGAGATAGAAATATTGATGTGAGAAAGAAACATCGATCAGCTGCCTCCTGCACGGCCCCCACTGGGGATCGAGCCCGCAACCCAGGCATATGCCCTGACTGGGAATCGAATCAGTCCATGAGATGACATTCAATTCACTGAGCCATAACAGCTGGGCTCGGTCCTTCCTTTTGAAAGACCCAAAATGGGGCTAATTTTCTCCTCACTGTGTTGCCTGAGCATCACTGTGATGCTCTAGTCACATAGGCTGTTTGTAGTAGTGTTACTGGGCCAACTACCATTTTTCTCCCAGTGAAAAGCCAGCCTGGGCTGGTGTTTGACTAGAGCAAAGCCCAGGGATTCAGAATTTATTCATTATCCCTTGTTAATAAAACCCTTGCCCTCTCCAACGCACCACATCCCAGAGGGCACAGGAAATTAAGAACATGATAGGTTTCTCCAGAGTTCACTGAATCTAGTATTTTACCTCCAGAAAGGGATATCCAAGTCCAAAGATTAGGGAGCTACCTACCTATCCTTAGAAAGCCCCAGAACACTTGACCTTTCTGTGGTCCAACCTAAATTTATCCTGCTACATCAGAAACAAGGGGTCCTCATGTCTGTCCAGTGTAAACCACAGTCCTGGTAATAACTAGATATGTTAAACCTACAAAAGGTGAAAGAATAATATAATGAACGCCCATATTATCATTCATCTAGATCCACCAGTTGTGAACATTTGCCATGTTCTCTCTATAGACAGACAGATACCCCTGAACCAATTGAAAGTTGCAGAAATCCCAACACTTCACCCCAAATGCTGCCATGTATAGCATGGGGTTTATAACCAAAGACAGGGATATTCTCCTCCATAATCACAGAACCATCACCTCAGCAAACAAAGTGTGCGGTTGTCTACCGTGGTGCAGACAAAAAGGGGATACGGTGTGTCAAGAATTTTAAGAACATATTTGCCAGGGCAGTCTATTCCCACCTCCCCCCACCAAAAGCTTATACACCACTGAGCACCATACTTAAGATGAGTATTTTTTAAATGATGCAATAATACTGTCAAGTATAAAGTCCACATTCAAACTTCACCGATGACCCTAATAATGTTCTTTTTAGCTTTCTGGTTTTGTAAAGTCCAGGATTCAAACAAGAATTGTACATTGCATTTAGTTATCTTGTGCCTTTATTCCAGAATAGTCTTTCATAGCACTGACATTTTTTGAAGAGCCCAGGCCCTTGTCTTGTAGTATATCCCACCATTTGGATTTGTCTGATTGTGTTCCTCGTTAGATTTAGGCTCAGCATGTCTGGCACAAATACTACTACTGTGTGCTTTTTACTTGATTTTATCTTTTAAATCCACACCTGAGGACATGCTTAGTAGAGAGGAAGGGGGAGAGAGAGAAACATCAATGTGAAAGAGAAACATTAATCATACATGCCCCAATCAGAGATTGAACCCATAACCAAGGTATGTGCCCTGACTGGGAATCAAACCAACAACCTTTTGGTGCACAGAATAAGGCTCAACCGACTAAGCCACTCTGGCCAGGCGTACTGCCTACTTTTTGCTTTTTATTTTTATTTTTTGTTAATCCTCACCCAAGGATATTTTTCCATTGATTTTTATTTATTTTCCTTTATTGATGTTAGAGGAAGGGAGAGGGAAACAGAATAGAAACATCTATGAGAGAGAACATCGACTGGCCGCCTCCTGCATGACTCCCATTGGGGATCAGGCCCACAACCTGGACATGTGCCCTGACTGGGAATCGAACCAGTTGACCTCTTGGTGCATAGGTGGATGCTCAACCACTGAGCCATGCCGGCCAGGCTTTCCACTGATTTTAGATAGAGTAGAAGGGAGGAAAGGAGAAAGAGAAACATCAATGTGAGACACATCGATTGGTTTCCTCCTGAGCCAGGGATCAAACCCACAACCCAGGTACACGCCCTTGCCTAGGAATCAACCCCACCCACAACCCTTCAGCCTGTGGGTCAACACTCTAGTTGCTGAGCCAAACTGGCCAGGTCCTGTGTGCTTTTTAAACTCTTACTCCTGCCCAGCGAGTGTGGCTCAGTGGATTGAGCATCCTCCCATGGACTGAGAGGTCCCAGTTTGATTCCCAGTCAGGGCTCATGCCTGGGTCAAGGGCTCCATCCCCAGTAGGGGGTGTGCAGAGGCAGCTGATTGATGTTTTTGTTTCTCTCTCTCTCTCTCTCTAAAAAAAGCAATAAAACACATTTTAAAAAGTAATTAATTAATTAATTAAACTCTTACTCCTACTTAGTCTTCACAGCAGCCTTGCCTTCAGCAGGTGAGCTTGGCAACACTAAGTGACTTGTCCAAGGTCACAGAGGTATCATATGGAGGAAGCAAGATTCCAAAATGCTTTCTGCTACTCCAGTGGTTCTTACCCAAGAGTCAGCATGTATATTTTCCTGGTGAGAGGTCCATAGCTTTGATCAGATTATCCAGGGGTGACTCCAAAATAGTTAAGATTACCATGTGTGCCACGCTACCTTTCCAGAGCCCCATTTCTTTGTGGTTCCATCTGTTTGGGAAATGAACTCAACTGGCCTCATTATCTAGGAAAGGAGGCAGGGTCAAATGTATGCCCACAGCTCAGCGGTCAGGTGGCTTCAAGAGGAAGCTGTCCACCATCATCCCTCTTTCTCTCACCACAGTGGAGTTCCAGGTGACAACACATACCCCATCCCTGAATTTCCTACTGGGGTCCTCAGCCTCCCTGCACTGCGGCTTCTCCATGGCACCAGGCTTGGACCTCACCAAAGTGGAGTGGCGGCTACAGCATAAAGGCAATGGTCAGCTGGTGTACAGCTGGACCACGGGGCAGGGGCAGGCCAAGCGACAGGGCGCTACCCTGGATCCTGAGCAGCTCCTCATGGCTGGAGACGCCTCCCTCAACCTACCCAGCCTTACTCTGAAGGACGAGGGGGCCTATATTTGCCAAATCACCACCTCTCTGTTCCAAGCTCAACAAATCATCAACCTCCATGTCCAAGGTGAGGCTAGAACCTGCTTATCTGGGGGAGAAAAACAGGGAGTATATGCTTATTGGCAGTGTCTTCCAGAGACCCAAATACAGGGCACTTCCTGAGAGGCAGACTGCATCCCCACAACCTAATTGCCATCTCCACCCTAGAAGCATGGACGGCATCACATTGTCTCCAATCACACTCCAGGATAAACCCATTGAGAAACTTCCCAGCCCAGTATCTGGCTGCCCTACCCTGGCTGGCTGCCTCCATCACACATTTTAAAGGAGCAGCAGTAAACCAAGGAGGGGCAGTGGGAGTGGTCCTGATGGAGAGTTTTTCATCCCTGATACCCTTTAAAATCACTGGCTTTTTCCTGGCTGGTTTGGTTCGGGGGTTAGAGCATCGACCTGTGGACCAGAGAGATCCAGGTTCAGTTCCCGCTAAGGGCATGTACTTTGGTTGCAGTTTGTCCCCGGCCCCGGTTGGGGTCGTGTGGGTGGCAGTCAGTTGATGTTTCTCTCTCTCTCTTCCTCCCTCTCTCCCTCCCGTTCTATCTGAAGATAAATGCAAAAATGTCCTCGGGTGAGGATAAATAAATAAATTAAAAAAAAATTTTTTTTATGGCTGAGCATCGTCCCATGGACTGGGAGGTACTGGTTCAATTCCTGGTCAGGGCACATGCCCGCATTTCAGGCTCAATCCCCAGTAGGGGGCATGCAGAAGGCAGCCAATCGATGTTTCTCTCTCTCTCCCTTCCTTTCTCTAAAAAAAAAACAATAAAAACATATTTACAAAAAATAAATAAAATAAAATCACTGGCGTATAGTGATAAGAAGCAAGCCAACCTTTAGTTGGTTTTACTATTGCTTTTCAATTACCTTTGGAATATGTACCCCTTTGTGGCCTGCATTCAGGTGAACTCCTCATCTGCCCCTTGGCACTCCACTGAGGAAGAAACGTCAGCCTCTGCAACCTAGCTCACTCTCAGCAGGGAGAGAAGGCTTTAGGCTCCTGTGTCCCATTGATCCCTCTGGAATCTTACTCCTCCTTTCTTCCAGCTTCCCCCAAAGTACGACTGAGCCTGGTAAAGGAAGCTCTGGCACCCACCCTCATCTGCAACATCGCTGGCTATTATCCTCTGGATGTGACTGTGACGTGGACCCGAGAGGAGCTGGGTGGAGCCCCAGTCCCAGTCTCTGAGGCCTCCTTCTCCAGCCTCCGGCAAAGCCCAGAGGGCACCTACAGCATCTCTTCCTTCCTGAAGGCAGAACCTGGCCCTGCAGGTGCCACTTACACCTGTCAGGTCACCCACATCTCCCTGGAGGAGCCCATCAAGACCAGCACCTGGGCGGCCCCACCAGGTACTGGGGTGCCCTCCTCTCCCCACGTCTATCATGGGCTCATGGCTCTCCTACCCCATGCTCCTCTTTGGTCTTGTTCTGCTTCCCACCATGTTATGTTCACAGCCCCAGCTTCTTTCTCAAAGTAGCAGCCTCCATAGCTGCCACCACACATCCTGAGACTGGTACATCACAGGTGCCAGGACACCAGGCAATGTGCTGGAGTTGAAGGCTGAATAATTCCTCATCCCGCCCTTGAGGAGCTTCCTCCAGCTGGAGGGACTGACTAGGCAGACAAGATGACCTAGGAAGGGTGGGGCAGGGGGCATGCAAACCAAGTTAGGTAGCTCGAGGGGCAAGGAAACCCCAACACAGGAAGAACGGCATGTCTGACAGCCGAATATAAAGCAGCCTAAAGAAGACTTAGACCTGCACAGCTAGTGTCAAGGATGTGAGGGAAAAGGGGAAAGTAGCCTAAAGCTTGAGAGGTGATTATATTTATTAAGCATTTACATGACTCCCATTGTACTGATGAGTGAACTGGCACTTACAGACGTTAAGCAGTTTGCCCAAGGTCACCTATCTAGTAAATCGTAAAAGGTAAAATGTGAAAAACAGGAGCCTGAAGCCCTCTACTGCTGTTAGTGGGCTGATACCAATGGGCCTTCAAGCTGGAATGTCATCCTGAAGCAACAGGTTATTAAAAGGTTTTAAACAGGAAAGAATCAGTACCCAGAATGCAAACACCCAGGAGCACTAGGCATTATTATTTAAGACTGGGGTTTTGTCTCAGCTCACATCACTCCCCAGCTGTTTACAAAATTCTAGTTTAACTGTCAATAACTATCTAATCTTGGAAAGCAATTAAAAAAAAATGTTGTCCTGAGGTGGGAAAAGGTAGATAATTCTGTGTGTAGTAACACACAAGCATCCAACAACCCTGAGCAAGTGTGAATGCTACTGTGTGCCCAGTTCCCGGGTGAGAGCAGAACATCTGATATGAGGTCCCCATCCAGGGACTCACACACATTCCTTTGTCCTCCTGCTGGTGTGGGCTGAGCTAGGTCCTGCCCACTGATTCCTGCCTACATCTGTCTCACCTACAGAGCAGAGAACTATGACCTTTGGAGTCCTTTTTGCCAGCAGCCTCTTCCTTCTTACACTGCTGTACCTGGGACTTCAGAGATGGCAAGGTAAGAGCCTGGCTGCCCTCAGCTCTTCCCCAACCCACCTCCCTCATAGACCAGCCTCCACTACCTCCCTCCCCACACCACCTCCCCACCCAGACTAGATGAAGCCCAAGCATCACAAGTTCTAGCCAGCCTCCCCCATAGCCCCAATTTTGGGGTTACCCCCGCTGAAACCAACCTCACTCCCTCTTGTTCTCTCCTAGCTACCTCATCCAAGGTCTGCCAAGACTCCAAGGCCCCATGGGTAGTCACTGTCCTGCCTCAGAGTAAAAAGAAAGAGTAGTCACATTCTCCCTGAAGCACTCTAAGCCAAGGCTGAGAGCTCAAAAAGACCCGAAAAAAAGCAAGAAGAACACACAGATCACAGGTGCACTGGCTCTGGCTCTGAATATGTGCAGGACTCTGCCTCCCTTCATTATGTCCCTGGGCTAAACAGAAAACATGAAGAGGTAAGAGAGCAACAGGAAGGCAGAATGTTTGGGTGGAGGTTAAAAGAGCCAGACTTGCCCTGGCCGGTTTGGCTCAGCGGTTGGAGCATCAGCCTGCAAACCAGAGAGTCCCAGGTTCAGGTCCCACTAGGGGCACACACCAAAAAAAAAAAGGACATTATTTTGCCCTGGCCAGTTTGGTTCAGTGGTTAGAGCATCAGACTGCGGTCCAGAGACCCGAGTTCAGTGTCCGATAAGGGCACGTACCTTGGTTGCAGTCTGTCCCCAGCCCTGGTTGGATCGTGAGTGGGAGGCGGCCACTCAATGTGTCCCTTTCACATCGATGTTTCTCTCTCCCACTCTAGCTGAACAAAAAATGGAGGAATGTCCTTGGGTGAGAATAAAAAAATAAATTAAAAAATTATAAAAAAAAAAAAAAAGAGCTGGATTTGAGGTGTGGTAGTGGGAAAAGAAAATGGGAATAAATTAAGAAAGGAGTACGTGAAGGACAGAGGGGCAAAGGGGTGGTGGTCAGTAATACTGAACTCTGTCCAAATAAAAGCCTCCTGGGTCCTTGGAGGAAAAGCTTTTCCACTTTCCTGTCTTTCCCCATGCTGTACCCAAATGAGCTGTGTCCCCAAGCCTAGCTGCAAAGTGTTCCAGGTGTAAAATAAAGGCGCTCAAAGGCAGCCCCAGGGGTCCATCTCAGTTGCTCTGTGTAACCTGGAGCTGTAATTAAGGTTCTGCTCCCTTAGATAGGTGCTGGGTATCTCAGGATACCTACAAACTCCTCACTCCTACTATTCCTCAAACTACTCAGCTGCAAGGGAGAGACTTCTCTTTTTATACATTTCTAAAATTTGCCAGTCAAGCCCTGGCCGGTTTGGGTCAGCGGTTAGAGCATCAGCCCACGGTCCAGAGAGAGCCGGGTTCGGTTCCCACTAAGGGCACGTACCTCGGTTGCAGTTTGTCCCCAGCCCCGGTTGGGGTCGTGTGGGTGGCAACCACTCAATGTGTCTCTCTCACATCCATGTTTCTCTCTCTCTCTTCCTCTCTCCCTCTCGCTCTATCTGAAGATGAATGCAAAGGTGTCCTCAGGTGATAAAATTAATTAATTAATTAAAATAAAATAAAATCTGCCAGTCAAGCCCAGCCAGTGTAGCTCAGTGGATTGATCATCATCCCATGGACTGAGAGGTCCCGATTCAATTGCCAGTCTGGGCACATGCCTGGGTTGCAGGCTCAATCCCCGGTGAGGGGTGTGCAGGAGGCAGCCAATCAATGTGTCCCTCTCACATTGATGTTTCTCTCTCTCCCTTCCTCTCTAAAAAAATCAATGAAAACATATTTTTTTAAAAATGTTTAAAATTCGCCAGTCAATACAGTGGAACTCAGCACAAGGGAAGGAGGTAGATAAGAGATGTCTGAGAAAACCTTGAGTTGTTTGTCAGTGTAAGATCCCCACCCAACTTCCTGTCGTCACTTCCTCTCACTAGCACCTGGAAGAGTTGGGCTGCTTCAGGCATGAATGCTGAGATGGTGACCACTTCCTCTGCCAACACATAGCTCTTTAATCTCCAGAAGACCATCTAACGTGCATAAACCAGCCCTTCTAGCCTAAAGCAACATCAGACTAGAAAGAAACAACATTCTCCTCCTCCCCCCCTCTCCTCGGTAATTCCAACCCAAACAACAACCAAGTCAGTGTAGTTAGTTAGGAATTTGTATTTTTTGCCTTTGTTCAGGATACATGAAATTGGTAAATATGCCACATGCCTTTGGTGAAGTACAACTGTTATTATTCTGTACAAGTCTGAGATTGAGGTTAGGAAAAAAGACAAAGGTGATGACAGACACAGTGGAAACCCCACATCATTTCATGGCAAACCGAAGAGATGTGGGAAGCTTGGCTTCATTTGATTGCAAAGTCCCAGGGTTTAGTTGCATATTTGCTCATGCACGTGGGTGGTAGGAGAGAAGGGAAACAGCAAAGACACAAAAGAGGGTACACGGTGGGATGAAAAAGGAAGTAGAAGGGCTGATATTTCCAAAAGAACAACGCCAACTATATCTGGTGAAGCTCAAAGAGGCAGAAACCCAGGAAATAATTCCTGTGACACAGATGGGTAGGCCAAGAGGGTGAATTTGCTCCAGGTTTGGAACACATCGAAGATAGTGGTGGTTCTTCTCCAGCGGTGACCCCCTGCATTAGGCAAGGAGGAGCCCAGAAGAGAGTGGAGACCTTCGAGGGGAATCGTTGGGAGGGTACATTGAATGCTTTCTTCCAGTTCTTCAGTCCCTCCCCGGGGCAGGACGAAGAGAATGTGGGAAACAGGGGCAAAGGGAGAGGAAGGATGGTTTTGTGCAATGAAATGCTGCTGCATGGAAAGTGAGCGTCCAGACCCAGCCCAGCCTGGCCTCAGCCTCTTCCTGCTTGTGGACCAGAGGAAAAAAGGAATACAGGAGCCTGGGTGTTTCCCCTTCTGTTGCCAGCCTGCTTGCCTCCCCTCACACTGTGGTCTATCCTACTCAGTACCCTATCCTGAAGCCAAGCAGTGGCCCCCACGACAGGCTACCATCTTCAGATTCCAGTCTATACTCACAAACCATGCAAAGAGGAGAAAAGGAAAGGAGATAAGTGGAATGCAGATGGGTACACGTGGTTTAGCAGGGGAGTATCACGCAGGAAAAACAGAGAGGTGGTAGATGAGAAGGCCCCATGACAGGACAGACTGTCTACAGGCTATCCCACCTCCCACCCGAAGACTGAGCAGGTATACTGGGCTTCTCTATATACTCAGAATCGGCCAAGCCTCAGGAAGAACATCTTGCTTCTTAATTGTCTTTGGCAAGTACATGGGGGTGGTGTGGAGGAAGGAAGTCCCTGAAAGTCCAAGGACCCTTACACTCCTTAATCAAAAGGAAGGGAGGAACAGGACCCTCCTTAACGAGAGGGCAAGAAGTAGTTTCCTCTGAGGTTATTTTCAAATTAGGCCCTTTACTCACTGTTTCTCCCTAACTAAGGCATTTTATCTTTATCTATGCCAACAATTAAAACTAACTGAGTCCTAAATTTTGGCTATATGAAATTATTTGGTGCTCTCATGAACAGTACAGAATGCTGCAGAACATGTGGACAAGAGACAGCCCCTTCCAGTTATGAGCTTATGGGACTGCTTCCAGGATGGCAATGAGAGACCTGGTATTTTTCACAATTAATATGTGTTCTCCAGGTCTTTGGAGAACAAAGTAAAAGGCTGTAAGATCCCTGAAGATGTAGAAAATCTTGGACTAACAGATTAGAAATAACTGCAAAAAACCTCTTAGGTTTTACTATCTAAGTATTACTATATATGCACCAGGACCAAGTAGAACTTTGGGCCCACCCAGGATCCTCTTCAGGCCCGGCATAGGAGAACAGCTCCAAGTGACTTGGGCAGCCCTGAGTGAGCCACCATTTTCGCAGGTATTCATGGCTTCCTCCTGCCAGTGGCCTGGTGTTTCCTGGAGGCACCATGGGCACTGATACCCTTCTCCTCCCCCAAACTTGGCACTTTCTTGGGCATGTCACTACAGCTACGCCCCGTCCCCTTCCCTTGGCCTCCAGCTCTTTTTGGCTTTGGAGGGATTTGCGAATATATAAGAAGTGGGTATGGAGGAGGTGCCAGCTATTGCTCTTCAGGTAGTTACTTCAAGACTGCGCCAGGAGCAGCATTTCTAGTGTTGAGGGGCATAGTGCAAAGGAAAGCAACAAAAAAGGAGGAACGGGCCATGGAGAAGCCTGGGTTGGGATGGAGGAGTGTAGATGGGGAAGTCTGTTGAGAGAGCAAACAAGGAGAGGAACATGAGTTTGGATGGCAATGGAGGACAGGGAAGGAGTGGCACATTCTCAAGTACAAAAGTAGACTGGACACAGGAATCAGGAAGTTCCAGTTGGAAAAGAGAGAGAGACAGAAGAAAACAAGAGGACAAATTACATCAAATTACTAGACATTCGGGTCTTTCCATTGTAGTTGTCCCATCCCCATGTCTCCCTCTGACCCAAGACATTGACAAACAGCGTAGCCCCACTTCCTCAGAATAAGAGGGACCATCTTCCCACAATATCTTGCAGAGGGAATCCTTGTCCATCAAGAAAGTCCTTTGCCACCTGGCTGGTTTTGCTCAGTGGTTAGAACATCAGCCCGCAGACCAATGAGTCGCAAGTTCGATTCTGGTCAAGGGCATGTACCTCAGTTGCGATTGTCCCCGGCGCTGGTCCGGTCATGCGGGAGGCAACCAGTCAATGTGGCTCTATCATGTAGATGTGTCTCTCCGTCTCTCTCTCTCCCTCCCTCCCACTCTATCTGATAATAAGAAAAATATCCTCAGGTGAGGAATAAAAAAAAAAGTCCTTTGGCCTTGGCCCTGGCCAGTTTTGCTCAGCGGTTAGAACGTTGGCCTACGGTCCAGAGAGACCCGGGTTCGATTCCCGCTAAGGGCACGTGCCTCAGTTGCAGTTTGTCCCTGGCCCTGGTTAGTCGTGCGGGTGGCAGCCACTCGATGTGTCCCTTTCACATCGATGTCTCTCTCTGTCTCTCTCTGTCTCTCTCTGTCTCTCTCTGTCTCTCTCTCTCTCTTCCTCTCTCTCCCTCCCACTCTATCTGAATAAAAAATGGAAAAAAAAATGTCCTCAGGTGAGGATTTAAAAAAAAAAGTCCTTTGCCTTTGCCCTTCCTCCCTCCTGAACCAGGTGATGATCCCACAATAGTGATCTCCATACCTCAGTCAGAGCAGCCCCACTCCCCGGGCAGGCAGCCAGGGCCGGGAGAAGATTCCAAGACCTTCCCACCTCTTCACCCCACAATTAACCTCAGCGATACTTACTTACAATAACTACCACGATGATGGCACAGATGGCTCCCAGCATGATCATCATCTGAGGAAACATTGACAAAAAAATGGATCCTTGGACTTGGGAAAGGAAGAAAAGAGCCAGGAAGAGAACTTCCTCTGTCCTTGGGACAGTGCAAGAAACCACCCATTACCCAGGAGATCTGCAGGCCTTTTAGGGAGGGCCCAATCCTTATGCTCCTCATCAGACAATAACCCCTGTACCACAGCTGAAGCTCCTCAGAAACATCAGAGCTCTGGCAGCTTGCTCCTGTTTCCTTAGATCCTGTTGCTTTGAAAGGAACTGCAATGGATCTTCAGTCAATGGGTTCATTTTTTGTTGTGAAGTATTCAGCTCATTCCTAAAAGCTGTACACATATATATATATATATATATATATATATATATATATATATCTGTGTCATTGTGTTCATGTTGGGTGTGTCTGAGGAAGGGAGGGCCAGGTGAGAATTCTTCCAGGGGTCCTCTTGCCAAAAGCAACTTGACTAACCATTTCCAAATGTCTCAGGGTATCACTGGCTCCCAGTTAGTGGGGCTGAAAGCTCTAGCCTACCCTGGTGGCCAATTCAGGGTAATGCAGCTCAAGGAGGCTTTCAAGACCCTCTGGAGAAGAGTTCTGCAGGGCAAAGATCCTGCACCACTAAAGGGAAGGAATGTAGAACCTGAGGGTTTTTCTTGCCTTCTGTGAGTTGTGGTCTGGGAAAAAGAAAGGGGAAAGGACAAGGAAATTCACCTTGCAGTCTTTCCACCAATACTTCCTCTTTAGCTTGGCAGCACTGCTCTCAAAGTGTGATGCTTCCACCTGCAACGCGTCAGCTCTGTTGTCCAGCTCTGACAGTATCTCATCCCTCTTCAGGACCTTGTCCACATTCACACGCATGATATCCACCACCTGAGGGGGGCGCAGAAACAAAGCTGCTTAGCTCGCCACCAGAGAAGGGGGAAAGAACAATGACCACAGGTTTGCACTGTGTAACTCCAACTGATACCTTGCCTCCCAAAGCCTTTAGCTATAAAAAAGTTTCTAAACTTCTATGATTTGGAAACTCTCAGAGAAAAACTCTCCACCTACCTCTTCTACTTGTGCCTGAGTTTGCTGTAATCGTCTGTTACTGCTCGTATTAGAAGGGCCAGCGGGACCCCCACCTGGGGAAGCCCCTTCTGCCCCTTCAGTGGGTGGCTGAGTTGGAGCAGACCTGTGGAGAGAAGTGGACAGAGTACACAAAGTACTCAAGACAAGAAAGGAATCACGTGCATTGTCACCCCACACATCAAATCCATGTCAATTAGGTTATCATATGCAATTAGAAGGGGTTCTACCTCCTTGACAATACCAAGTAGGGAGATGCAGCACAGTGGCAAGAAGCAAAAGATAAAAGATCCTATAACAACATTTAGATGGGGCTCAGGGACATCCAGGATGGCATCGAGAGATCTTATTTGGGCCACCTTCTGACACAATGGTTACAGGGACTAATGTGCCAGCTTTGGCCTCAATGGCATCTCCCTGACTGTCAGAAGCCTTTCACATGAAGTCAAACTGGAAACCTCCAATTCAGGTTAGAAAAAAACTGTATAAAAAAACGAAAACCTCAGGACAAGCCTATGGACTGAACAGCTCTATCTTGCAAAGCTTAAATCTAAAAGGAAATGCCCTGGCTGGTTTGGGTCAGCAGGAGAGCAGCGGCCCACGGACTAATGAGTCAAGGGTTCAATTCTGGCCAAGGGCATGTACCTCAGTTGCAGTTCGTCCCCGGCCCTGATTGGGGTCGTGTAGGGGGCAGCCAGTTGATGGGTCCCTCTTATATCGATGTTTCTCTCTCCTTTTCTCTACCTCTCTCTCCCTTCCACTATATCTGAAAATAAATGGGAAAATGCCCTCAGGTGAGGGTTTAAAAAAATTAAAATTAAAAAGAAAGAGCAAGCTCACAGACTCTGTTTAAGGGGATCCACTTACTGGTTATGTTTCATGCAATAATTAGTAGTACATTGGGGTTGCTTTAAGGACAACTTGGAGAATCACCAAAGACATAGCCTCTGTAGGTGGAGTGAGTCAGGACAGTTTGCTTGCTTGGTTTTTTGGCAAAGAAATGGGGCTTTCACTTAGATAGAACTGGGGCCTAAAGCAATTACGTTAATTATGAAACTGTTCCAAGAACACAGACAGGAGGCAAAATGAAGGGAAATGGGCCTCAATGTACAGGCATCATAGACATTCTGTTCCTTCTTTTTCTATATCTGGCAAGAAGTAGACTACCCTAGTTCCTTACGTCCCAAAGAGAAATCTTGGTTTTCATTACTACACACAGTAATTGTTCTCTTTCCCTTAGCCTTAGAAAGGATTAACCTCATATGAGGTGTTCAAGATAAACTCCTTTTTATGTCCCAACACATCAAGGCTAAATTCACCTTCTAAAGTATTACTAGAAGTCTAATCTAAGGCATGAGATTTTCTCTTCCAAGGAAGAACCCACCAGCAGGAGGGAGATCTCTCAAATTTGATGGATAATAGATATTATAATAAGAACTCCTCAAACAGAAGCTGAATCTCACAAAACATACTTCATAGGAGTAGTCTAAGAATAAATGATCCAGGGATTTTTTTAAAAAATTTTTTTATTGATTTTAGAGAGAGAGGAAGGGAGAAAGAGAGATAGAAACATCGATGAGAGAGAACATCAATTGGCCACCTCTTGCATGACCCCCACTGGGGATCTGGCCCACAACATGGGCATGTGCCCTGATGGGGAATTGAACCAGCGACCTCTTGGTGCATGGGTCGACACTCAACCACTGAGTCACACCAGTTGGGCTGATCCAGGGATTAAACCATCACCAAGTCACCACAAAGGGAATGCCCTGACTGCTCCCAATAGAATGAATACCCAGAAGTTCCTCATCCCTAAGTGAATTTCTTTCCATCTGAAAAGACAGAATAATGCCTCAGAGAGGCTATACTAGATTACATCTGACTTATCCCCATTTAAGGAATCACTCTCATTTCTAAGGCACAAAGGTGGCAAAGGAAAGAAAGATATAAAGCCATGGAAGCCACAAGACTCTTGTGCTACTACTGAACTATGCAATCTAGTTCTGACTGAAGATGGAAAATTAGATGAGTAGGTAGAAGGTATTGTTTGGTCTTGGAAGTAGTCCGGGATTGTGGCACTAATGACAAGATTAAAGTCAGAGGCCTCTGATGCCCTGCTAGTCAGCATACTTTCTCCATCTCCTTCGGTTCATCCTACATAGGTGTTACTGGGAACCAGTCAGCTAAGAAGGATCCTCCTTCCCCAAATGAAAACAAATCAAAGCCTAGGACTTGGCCAAAATGCACTGAATGCCACATAGTTAAAACTGTAGAAATCAAAATGTGAAATGGTTATAAAGCATTTGAAGGGACGATTCCACTTCCTATCTGTTGGGAGCTGGGAACACACAGCAGTAAAATGTCCAGAACAGTTACAATCCTTATGTATTATAATGAAATCTTTTCCCTTTTTTTTTTTTTTTTGTCACTGAGAGAAGCAATACAAATATATCTAGGACCAGGCCAGGACTCCAGGCAATAACAAGAAAGAAAAATCTCTATCAGACATATTATGGTCTTGACAGGGAGGCATTTCATTTGTCTAGCCATGGTTCTCCCTCAGGATCTTAGGATGGGTATGATGTTGAAGATGGTCAGAGACTAAATTTAAGACAGGGATCCTCAGCTCTATTTCTCTTCCAAATACTTGGCTAAGACTTAATGACAAAAACACCTCAGGGTGGCCTTTGGATGAATGGCTGCTCGGAATCACATGGCATTGCCCCCTGAGTTTTTCTGAGCCGCCCACTTGGCGCCAGAGAGCTGGCTGATAAGTTTCTGGAGCTTTGCTCACTGCCAAAGTGAGCAACATGTACAACAGTTGCGGTGCGAGACATACACAAATCCAGAAATGGTAGGGCAACTTAAGTTACTACTAACTGGCAGGTGCACCTATGACTGTCTTTCCAGAGGTACTAAGTACAAATTCAAGCAGAGGACAAGGAAGAGCCTCAAGCCCCCTACCCGAAAACTCCATGCACCACCTTTGCCCTCTCCCGGGCTCCACAATACCAAAACCGGAACCAGGCGCCCCTCAGGTGAGAAGAGAAGGTGCAATGAATGTGGGATCCTTGCGCCCCTGCCCCGCCTGTAGGGTGCTGGCTGTGGCTGGTGCAAGAGTAGGGTACTGCCCTCCTCTCTGGGATGGTCAGGTCTGGGGGCTGCGGGCGAAGGAGGTTCCCCGCGTCGCTGCAGCTGCTGCAATGCGCCATTTTCCGTACCGCAGAGTCTGGCGCGGGGGTGAAAGTTGGCAAGGAGGGTCGAGCTCCCCACACCAGAGTCAACTCACATTTCTCTGACAGAGTAAGGGCTGCTCTCCTCTTCGGATTGCTGCGGCGAGACGCCGGCGAGGGGAACCCTGCGGCGGAAGTCGACGGAACTGCTGAGCTCCTCCAGCTGACCACCTCGAGCTCGAGCTGCGCTGGACCTTACTGCAGCTGCCGTCTGGGTCCCAGTCTTTATTAGCGCCAGACACGCCTCCCCGGTAAAGTTGACAATGCCGCGGCCCAATCCACGCCCGGGACAGGCGCCAGTCCAAGCGAAGCCCCAGCAAATTGGCCAATGAAAGCTCTCCTCTCAACCCGACCGAAAGGAGGGGTCGTGAGGCTCATTCACCGACCAATATAACTATAGTTGGCTTACCTGTCTAACTACGCGACAGGCGTAGAGGAAACGCGCGCCTGCCTTGGAGGGGCTACTCCAACAGTTTAAGTTTAGTCCTTTTTGGTACCTCCCAGCCAATCACTGAACAGTTTCTGAAGTCCGAGCCCGCCCGAGGGCCCCAGCGCCAGCAGCGCCAGCCAATCGCGCCGCTTCCACCGACAGCCGCCGCGGGGCCGGCTCGCAGAGGCCGGGACTCCGGAGTCTAGGGTAGGCGGTGGTTGGTCAGCCTGCGCACAGCGCTGCCGCCCACCCCTGCTGGCGTTCCACCCCCCTGCCCGCCTCTGACAACCCTGAGGAGGCAGAAGCTGTCAAGGTGGAACGGGCCCAAGTACCGGGCGCGGGGTTCCGTCCCACCAGAGCAGATATGGAGGCTTCGTTCATCCGTTTCCTTCCACATTGCCAACAAGCTCCTCACACAGTGTATCCTAAATTGAACTTCGCGCCAAACCTGCTCCTCCTATCCCTTCCAGGTAGGTTACTACATCCCCTCGGTTGTCCAAACCGGAAGCCGTCCTAGAATTCTTCCCCCTTCGTCTTTACCCCTCTGATAATTCACCAAGTTGAGTCGATCTTTCCTTTTTAATATTTCAAGAATTATCTCCCGACTCTCTGGCCTACTTTAGATTCTTATCCGTTGTAAAACTCACCATTAATTTAGTTCCCGCTAGGAAAAAAACGGGTGGCAAATAAACTGACACAATGCTTTCTTATCAGTTAGAGAGTTTATATTTATTGGAAGTGTAGATTTATATAGAGATTTTCATCATATTTCTCTCGTGCATACGTAAAAAGGAAAATAGAAAAGAACAACATAACAGTATTCCTAAAACTTCACATTCAGAGGCTGACTCTTATGATTCATTTTTTGACTCAGTCTTAGATGTTCATGATTTTTCACACAATGTAGTCGTCAAGGACTTTGAGCAGACAGCATTTCTTAAGAGTGTTCCTCTTCTGTCTCTGGAATTTTCTTCCAAGCCTCAGACACTCATTTGGCTAAGTTATAGTGAAACATCCCAATTTAGATGTTAAAATGGGGGGAGGGAGGGGTGTCTCTTAGAATCAATGAAATATATCTTTCTGTTTCTAGTCTTGCCCTCCTTTATATCTATCCTCTAAGAAACCAGGATGATCTATCCAAATGTCACAACCCTGCTTAAAACTATTAAACAGTTGCTCTTAGAAACATAATGTACTGATCATGTGTTTATCCCATCCATCTGCTATAACCACATCAAAATGACAATTTGTAGGAACTGAAATCTCTCAAAGACAAAAATAAAGGGAGGAAATGTTTCTAGCAGCATGAACACCTAAGTATCCCCACCAACTTTCCCCTGGAAAAAACTTAAAAATCACAGAATTTTTTAAAAATTGAGATATTTTTAAACTTAAAAACATAATACAAGGATGTTCCCCTATAGCCCTTTACCTAGTTTCCCCCAAAGGTAACTTACATAACTACAGTACAATATTAAAACCAGGAAATTGACAATGGTAAAATCCACAGAGCTTATTCATATTTTGCCATTTTTACATGCATTCGTGTGTGTGTGTCTTTGTGTGCGCCTGCATAGTTTTATGCAATATGTGTGTAGATTCCTGTCACCACCACCACAGTAAGGGTACAGAACTATTACATTACTACAAGGCTCCCTTGTCTGTTTCTTTATAGCCACACCCACACCATCCCTAACCCTTAGCAACCACTATTTTTTAATAACATTGACTAGGACATTTAATACTAAGTTAAAATGTAGCAGTAATAGTGGGCATCCTTTTCTTGTTGCTGATTTTATTTATTTTTAAAATATTTTTCTTTATTAATTTTAGAGAGAGAGGAAGGGAGATGGAGAGAGATGGAAACATCGATGAGAGAGAACACTGATTGGCTGCCTCCTGCACACCCCCACTTAGGATTCGCTGGCAACCTGGGCATGTGCCCTGACCAGGAATTGAACCAGGACCTCCCAGTCCATGGGAGGACGCTCAACCCACTGAGCCACACTAGCCTGGCTAACAGGTTTTATTTTCATCACAAATAGGAGTTGAATTTTTTATTTCCCTTTTCTATATCGACTAAGATAATCATGGAAAGCTAAACCCTCATCTTTCATAATAGGAAGCTAATACTTGTCTAAACCTGGTAAATCATAAAGAGTAGCAGGGCATATTTCAAATTATGATGACAAATACCAAAATACAATTAATCTTTGAACATACTGGGTTTGAACTGCACTGGTCCACTCATACATGGATTTTTTTTTTCAATATGTACAGTAGTGTGAATCTACTTTTCCTGATTTTAATAACATTTATTTTTCCTCTAGCTTACATTATTATAAGAATACAGGCTAGCCCGGTTGGTATGACTCAGTGGTTGAGAATTGACCCATGCACCAAGAGGTCGCTGGTTCGATTCCCAGTCAGAGCGCATGCCCATGCCCATGCCCATGCCCATGCCCATGTTGTGGGCCAAATCCCTAATGGGGGCCTGCAGGAAGCAGCCAGTTGATGTTCTTTCATTGATGTTTCTATCTCTCCCTCTCCCTTCCCCTCTCTCTAAAATCAATAAAGAAAAAAAAATTATACTTGATTTTTTTTTTTTATTCTCACCCAAGGACATTTTTCCATTTTTTGTACAGATAGAGTGGGAGGGAGTGAGAGGAGAGAGAGAAACATCGACATGAAAGGGACACATCGAGTGGCTGCAATCCACACGACCAATCAGGGCCAGGGACAAACTGCAACCGAGGTACACGCCCTTAGCGAGAACCAAACTCGGGTCTCTCTGGTCCGCAGGCCAATGCTCTAATCGCTGAGCCAAATCGGCCAGGGCTATACTTGAATTTTTGACTGCTCAGGGACCAGTGCCCCTAATCCCCAAGTTTAAGGGTCAGAGTAGTTCAAAGATGTGAAAGCCTTTCATTCTGGGAAGCTAATTTAGAGGATAGACTGGGTAAAGCAGGGAACTGCTGTTTTTGTCATACAATTTTCCCTTCTTGATTAACTATATGAATATATTACCTTGATTTTTTTAAATTAAAGCTTAATTTAGAAATCAATCTTTAAGTCTCCCACCTCATTTTTATTTTTTTAAAGATTTTTTTTCTTTATTGATTTTTATAGAGAGAGGAAGGGAGAGAAAGAGATAGAAACATCGATGAGAGAGAACATCGATTGGCCACCTCCTGCATGCCTCCCACTGGGGATCAGGCCCATAACCTGGGTATGTGCCCTGACCAGGAATCCAACTGTCGACCTCTTGGTGCATGGGTCGACACTCAACCAATGAGCCACACTGGCCGGACAGAAGTTTCTAACATGTAGCCAGGATTGAACAACTCTGGTCTACCAGGTTAAAAATAAAAAAATAAAAAAAAATCTTAAGCGCCCTGGCTGATTTGGCTCAGCAGTTAGAGCATCAGCCTGCGGTCCGGAGAGAACCGGATTCGGTTCCCGCTAAGGGCACATACCTCGGTTACAGTTTGTCCCCGGCCCTGGTTGGGTCGTGCAGGTGGCAACCACTCGATGTGTCCCTTTCATGATAATGTTTTTCTCTCTCTCTCTCCCTCCCACTCTATCTGAACGAAAAATGGAAAAAATGTCCTCAGGTGAGGATTAAAAAAAAAAATCTAAGTTCTTCTTCCTGGTTGGACTCCTAAAAACAGTTATTTGGCACTGTTTTTACTATCTAAACTTACTTCCTATTACTAGAAAAAGACGACTTATGTGTTAATGATCATTAACTTAGTCCTATGCACCTGTGTCAGTAGTGCCCACCTTTGCTCACATGTCTGTGTTCCCATAACAAGGCTGCTCCCCATTCCCCTACCCACCTGAATTATTTATCTATCAAAGCTCTTGCCCATAGATATTATTGTTCACACTTAACATCGATTTCCCATGTCCATCAGCTGAAACTTTCTAAGACTTAGTTCAAATGTCATCTTTTCAACAAATACCTTGTCTGACTGCCCCCCAACCAAGAAAGAACTCTTAGAAGTCTCTAGTTTTCCTATGCAATTACCATATTCAAATTCATAGTTTACATTCATATCTCTTAAGTAGAATGAAAGCCAGAGTTAGGAATCAATCCTGACTTAGTGATTTATGTCCCTCCAAATAACCTTGCACATAATGATTCAGTGTTTATTGAATGAAAATGTTACATATTGTTTCACATATAAAACTAAGGTTTGCCCTGGCTGGTTTGGCTCAGAGGTTAGAGGGTTGGCCTTCAGACCAATGGGTTGCAAGTTCAATTCCCAGTTAAGGGCACATACTTGGGTTGCAAGTTCGATTCCTGGCCCAGTGGGGGGTTGTGCAGGAGGCAACCAATCAGTGTGTCTTTCTCACACTGATGTTTCTCTCTGTCTCTCCCTCTCTCCCTTCAACTCTGTCTAGAAAGCAATGGACAAATATCCTTGGGTAAGGATTAAAAATTGAAATACAAAAATAAAACAAAATTGTTCTGTCCTTGAAAACAAGACGTTTTGTATTTTCACAGCGGAAGTATTTTATAAATACCTATTGAATTGAACTATCAATTTCCTCTTCACTAATAATGACATATTCCACTAAAACATGTATATATATTCTTTAGAGCACCTTGCACTTAGCAGTCTCAAATATTTAATTTTTTCCTCTCCAGTCCACTAGATCATGTCAGGTATTCCAGAGCCACTCATGTTTCTCATCCACCTCTCCATTTTTTAAAATATTTTTTATTAATTTTTGAGAGAGGGAGAGATAGAAACATCGATGTGAGAAACATTAATTGGCTTCCTCCTGCATGCCCCATACTGGGGATTGAGCCCACAACCTAGACGTGTGCCCTGAATGGGAATCGAACTAGGACCTCTCAGACCATAGCATAATGCTCAATCCACTGAACCATACCAGCCAGGCATCTCCATTCATATATCTAGCTCCTCACCAGCCATCCCTTTGAAAACTCTCTCCCATGTTATGAGTCCTGGCACTCTTCAATATATACATTTCCATTAAGACCCAGGATCATAATGTATGTTCATACATACCCATTAATCCATTTCTCTGAAACCCACTTTTCACTTAACAAGTACTTGTTAATCTAGGTTCACTTCTGTTGCGCCTACCAGAAGATAGTCCCAACAAAGGAATGAAATGTTACTAAGGTAGACTGCATGCTGCTCCCGATTCAAAAATGAAGTGTTGCCCAGCTGGTGTGGCTCAATGGTTGAGCATATAGACCCATGTACCAAGAAGTCGCCAGTTTAATTCCTGGTCAGGGCACATGCCCAGGTTGTGAGCCAAATCCCAGTGGGGGCATGCAGGAGGAGGCCAATTGATGTTTCTCTCACATAAATGTTTCTATCTCTCCCTCTATTTCTGTGGCCCTAGGCAAAGTAGTTAACTTCTATGAACCTTAGTTTTAGAATTAATTACCCTAATTAACCTAAAAATCCTCCTAGGAAACACAAATAGCACTTTTTATTGATTTTTTTTTTTGAGGGAGAGAAATATCAATGTGAGAGAGAAACACTGACCAGCTGCCTCCTGTATGCCGCCTACTGGGAATCAAGCCCACAACCTGGGCATGTGCTGACTGGGAATCAAACCGGGACCTCAGTCCATAGCACAACACTCAGTCAACTGAGCCACGCAAGCCAGGCACAAATAGCACTTCTTTTTTTAATTTTATTGTTTTCTTTATTGATTTCATGTGCCCTGACTGGGAATCGAACCAGCAACCTTTTGGTGCATGGGTCGACGCTCAACCACCGAGCCACACCGGTCGGACACCAAATAGCACTTTTAATTCTTTTTAAGATGATAATTGGCTCAGCGGTTAGAGCGATGGCCTGTGGACCAGAGAGTCCCAGGTTCAGTGCTCACTAAGGGCACATACCTCAGTTGCAGTTTGTCCCTGACCCCTTTGGGGTCATGTGGGTGGCAACCACTCGATGTGCCTCACATCAATGTTTCTCTCTCTCTTCCTCCCTCTCTCCCTCCTGCTCTATCTAAAGATAAATTCAAAAATGTCCTCAGGTGAGGATAAAAAAAAAGATAATTACCCAAAATTAGAGGACTTATACTTTGAAAAAGCAAGAGCCTAGAAACAACCTAAATGTTTATCAGAGTCGAAATGGTTAAATCATTGATACATAATGTGACATAAAATAATATCCAAGTTATATTAAGTTAAAATGCAAGGTACAGAACTGTGCATGAAATACAATTATTATTATTATTTTTAGATAGAGTGGGAGGGAGAGAGAGGAAGAGAGAGAAACATCGACGTGAAAGGGACACATTGAGTGGCTGCCTCCTGCACGACCCAATCAGGGCCAGAGACAAACTGCAATCGAGGTACATGCCTTTAGCGGGAACCAAACCTGGGTCTCTCTGGACCACAGGCTGACGCTCTAACCACTGAGCAAAACTGGCCAGAGCCAATTTTTTTTTTTAATCCTCATCTGAGGATACTTTTTTCCATTTATCTTCAGATAGAATGGGAGGGAGGGAGAGAAAGAGAAACATTAACATGAGAGAGACACATTTACTGGTTGCCTCTCACATGACCCCAACCAGGGCTGGGGACCTAACCACAACCAAGGTGCGTGCCCTTGATGGGAATCAAACCTGCGACTCATTGGTCTGGGGCCAACGCTCTAACCACTGAGAAAACCGGCTAGGGATGAAATACAATTTTTTTAAGGAGATAGTTTTTAATATAAACTTATATACCCACAGTATAGAAGGAGTAAGAATCTTAGAAGAACGGTTGCCTCTGTGAAGGAACCCAAAAAAGTCATATGAGAAAACTTCATGATTACCCTTTGGTAATTTTTCAATTTGCATTGTATATATGAAAACATTTTTTTGTAATTACTAAGAATACACACACATAGATGTACAAGACTCAGCTCAGTTTTACAGATCACAGATCTTCCAGGGCAGGGACCAGGCTTTTGAAACTGTTAAATTACCAAGATGATTCTGATGCTGTCAGGCTTAGGAACCACCCAGGCAAACCACTAGTACTTAATGCTTAATATTAAAGTGTACATGTGAGGCTATAACTGTATAACCCTAACTAGAAAAGTATATGCAGGGAGTGGGTCAAAGATATATTACGCTTTTTTGTTTCTCCTACAATTCTCAGCTCAGAAAAGTTACCCAATAAATATTTTTTGATAGAATAGTACAGAAATACAATTCCAATTTTCAGTTACATTTCATTCCAGTGTGGATTTTAAAAATATATGTAACATTTAGCATTATGGGGCAGTTAAAAATGACCACTTTCAATACATGAAACTCAAATGTCAAAAAGTATCACAATTTTTCTTTTTTAAAGGTCATAGGTATGGCTAGACTGCAAAGGGCAAGTGGTAAAATCCAAATCTAAGTCACTAAGACTTAGGAATGAGTCAGACTTATTAGGCTGAATGAGTAAAAGTAGCATCAGAAAACAGTGTGGCCCTGGCCGGTTTGGCTCAGCGGTTAGAGCGTCCACCTGCGGTCCGGAGAGACCCGGGTTCGGTTCCCGCTAAGGGCATGTACCTCGGTTGCAGTTTGTCCCCGGCCCTGGTTGGTCGTGCGGGTGGCAGCCACTCGATGTGTCCCTTCGCGTCGATGTTTCTCTCTCTCTCTCTTCCTCTCTCTCCCTCCTACTCTGTCTGTACAAAAAAATGGAAAAATGTCCTCGGATGAGGATTAAAAAAAAGAAAACAGTGTGGATAACAGATTCTAAAAAAAGCCCCATTTTATTACAGAGAGCATACAAATCCCTCTCCTCAGAGGGAAAAGTACTATTTCCCTTCTCCTGGATGGTAGATAGTGAGCTACTTGGGTAAGGCCCAACCATGGCTCCTGGCCATTATTCTTGTCTCCCCCCCCCACAACAGCACACAGCTCTGGCAGAGATGCTGGCCAAACCTGACCTTCAAGATGTCAAGAACTGCTTGCACTGGCCTTGCACAGACATTAAGTGGTTGAAGTCATATTGGGCCTTACCCAGGTATCTCACTTCCACAGTCCCCAGCTTTCTTTACTACCGGTACTTTCCATGTCGGTTAAAGTGTTTGTAGAGATAGCTGATGCGTTTGTTAAGGTTGTGCAAGTCATCAGTGAACATCCGATTTCCAACCATTTTCTTCTTTCGTATACAACGCTGCAATTCATTCCCCTTCCAGCCTCGAAGCCATCTGGGGCCCTTGATTAGTTCTTTGGGATGCTTTTCAAAATTTCCTGTGTATGTGAGAAAACATGTTAGTTCCAACACAACACAGCCAGGACCAGCTAAACCTTCAGCACACAGTTGCACCTTTCTGAGCAGCACCTACAGACAAGACACACTACACTACAGCTATCAAGACCACAGACTTTGGAGCCAGACTGAGATTCAAATTCGGACACTGCCATTTACTAGCTTTAGGGAAATCAACCTAACCTCTTTATGCCTCAGTTTCCTCACCGGTAAAGTGAAACGGTTACTATGCGGATTACATGAGTTAATGCATGCAGGGCACTCACAACAGTGCCTAATATAACGTAAATAGCTACATAAGTGTTTGCTCTTGCTATTGAGCACGCACCATTACTACACAGGTGGGGAAAAAAAGATAGTTGTTACGGCATAATTGCCATTCTTAAATTATGTACAATGGAGTCGAATCTTACCCAGGATCCCGATGTTATCATATACCCCAAACATAGCCCTCTTCTCGTTCCAACGATCAACCACTTTGGGAGCCGGGACCGTGAGCCTTACAAAATACAATTCAGGAACACCTAGGGATGGGGAAGAAAGAGAATGAATCCAGGCCGCTACTGAGAAGCAGTTCTCAGAGCGTCTCTTTACATCCGCCACTTACCCAGAGAGAAACTTCTGCAGGCCAGCGGCACCCAGCTCCATAGGCGCCTTCCTGCGCCCCCAGCGAGGCTCCCAGCCATTATTCTCGTCTCTCGCCTACAACAGCACACAGCTCTGGCAGAGAGTGCTGGCCAAACCTGACCTTCAAGATGTCAGGAACCGCACGCGCTGGCCTTGCACAGACACTAAGTGGTCGAAGCCATGTTGGGCCTTACCCAGGTAGCTCTGGGCGCAGGGAGCTCCTAAGCTCCTCCTTTGCCAACCATAAGCCCCGCCTTCTGAGTGCTGACGCGCGGCGGCCCGCGAGTGTCACTCACACCCTGCCCCGCCTAGGTGCTTCCGTTCTGCCAACCGGAAGTTTTGGAGCGACGGAAGAGTCAAGGAAGTCACTTTGTCGCCTATGGCTTCTCAAAACTGAATTTCAAGAAAATTCACTCTTCCGTTTCCTTTGCCGTTCCTCAACTGTGAGGGAGATGAAGGTCCAGACCCTGGAACCCCGAGCTTCCTTTTTCTACGCCTCACAGTTTTTGCGCTGTCGCTTTTTTTATTACCCCTGTTATGCCGGAGAGGAAATCGGGCTCAGAATGAAGTTACCTGCTGGACGTCACACAGCAGAGGAAATGGCGGAACCTGGACTAGATCCTAAAACGTCTAAATCCCGGTTTGGACATGCCCCCTGTCCTGGGGTTGACTGAGTGGGTCACTACCCCAAGGGCTCTACCACTGCCCAGGTAGAAATGCGGCATCTCTGGCAGACATTGCCGGGGCCTCCTCCCCACCGACTGGGGCAAAGGACCCTTTAGGGAAGGCGGCAGCCACGGACGAGGAAGGCTGGGGTCCAGATCCTGGGTCTAAGCTCCGCCCCTCTCTAGGCTGGCTGTGCGGCCGGGCTTCCGGGCCCTGCGCTGTGATTGGCCGGTCTCTGCAGCGAGCGCCGTGATTGGCCCCCTTGCGGCCGTTGAGATTTGAACTCCACATTAATGGCTTTGCCCGCGCGTCTCCTGGCTCAGAGGCAGGTTTTTGCCCCCGCCTGCCGGGGATTGGCCGGTTTCTCTGCGCGCTTGAGTGCTGCCTCGCTGATTGGTGCGTATTATGCATGCCCGGTTTCCTTCTTCATTTCAGCTCCACAACCGGAGTCCCAGGAACGGCCGGTGAGGTTGTCGGGTAAGGTGGTGTTAATGGCGAGCGGATAATGAAGGACTGGGAAGACAGGGTACGGGCCAATGTGATGCGGTGTTAGGCAGAACACGAGAGGCAGGGAGGTCAAGTGGGTATATCCTTGGGGTACGATTTGGTAGGAACAGTAAGTCTGATAGATCTACAGCAGAATGTGCGCAAATCGCTTAAGCTTTCTTAGTCTCATTTTCCTCATCTGTAAACCGAGCTGTATTATGTACTCCATGACAGTGCGATTTGGAGAATTAGATCGGATATGATCTATTCCAATAGCCTAACAGAACCTGGCACACAGTAAACAGGTAATAAATGTTAATGCTCTCCCATTCTGGAGCTAGGAAACCCACTAGCCCATGCCAGGCCACTGTTCTGGCCTCAGGTGAGACATTCTTAAGCTTTACCCATAAAAACATATAATTATGCAAACACAAGGCATTGATATGCCACTTTACAGTTCTTTACACACTTTAATACCCCTTGACTCATTAGGTCCTCAGGGCAACTATGTTAAGTAATCAGAAACTAGTAACCCCATTTTACAGATGAGGCCCATGACATGACCAAGTGGCAGAGTCATGAGTAAAATTAGATTCTACTCCAGGGTTGATCTCACATCCTCTAAGATAAAGTTGTTACCTTGATGTAAGACAAAAAAGTCATTATGTGTAGGGTGGGAGAGGGGGAAAATAGAACTGGAAGAAAAGACAGGCCTTAGATACAACCCTGACCTATTTTCTGTTTGGTTTCTAGCCCTGTGAGCCAGTAGGAAAAGGATGTCTCCCCAGCTGTATGAGTTCCATCTGCCCTTAACTCCAGAGGAATTGTTGAAAAGTGGAGGGGTGAATCAATATGTTGTGCAGGAGGTACTGTCTATCAGAAATCTTCCATCACAGCTTAAAGGTAAGACTCCACTACTGCCACTGTGCCTAGCACTTCAGAACAACCATCCCACATGTAATTAAACTGTCTGTCTGTTCCACTATACCGCTAAGCTCCATGAGGGCGAGGAAACTGTCTTTCGTATTCCCTAATATTTTCTCCCTAGCACCACATGGGGTGCATTACAGGAAGAGCTCACTCTTTAGCTACCTTATCTCAGTTATTCAATAAACAGCCTTAGTATTTATGGGGGGAAATTATTTCAGGTCTTTATCTCTTACCATATGCCAAAATAAAGTCCTGGTGGATTTAAGAGTTACAGAAGATAGCTTTCCCGGAGTGTTTGGGACTTGGCCTGACCTGTTTCAAGTAACACTTTTTAGAGTCTAAAACTTTTATTTTCAAGAGTGTGCAATAATGGAAAAAATATATATGTACAGCTACAACACTGCATAATACATGTGCAGTGCAGTTACCCATGAAAACCTGTAGATGACCAAGAACAATTTATGTATTATCAAGCAAGATCCATAATGTCACTGTACTTACTGGAAGTGGTCTTATATCAGTTAGATTGCTTTGGAGAGGTACACAAAGTAATGATTAAGACTCTGGAACCAAGCTGCCTGAATTCAAATCCTAGATCTACCACTCTGACCTTTGACAAGTTACTTAGTCTCTCTGTGCCTTAGTTTCCTTATATGTAAAGATAAGAATAATAACCTACTTCATTTACTGTCTTCTACAACAAAAAGTGTCAGTTTCAGTTAATGCAGCGGCTTGATAATCCAACTCCTGCTTATCTCCTTTTAGCTTTCCCATCGTGGTTGCAAGATGGCAGCTCCCTGAACAGAAGTAGAAAAGGGGATTTTCTATCTTGTACTTTTTCTTTCAGCTCTTTAAAAATTTTTCTTCCCAACAGATTTAGCCAGAATGGGATTATGTGTTATTTCCCTAACTAATTACTAGTAAGGGAAATGGAATTACCAAAATTGGCTAAATTGATCAAGATAATTATCTAGGAGCCTCCCTAAACCTGGAATGTCACCATTTGGTAAACAAGGAAGAAGGTATAGTGTGGAGGTCAACTGACTGATGGGTGGCCAACCAACGGTGTCACAGATAGACTGTTCTGTCCTTATTGCATGAATATCATCAGTTGCACATGCTGCACTATATAGCAAACTATTCTTTAGTTTTTATAATGCTTTTTTGTTTGTTTGTTTGTTAATCCTCACCCGAGGATATTTTCCCACTGATATTTAGATAGAATGGAAGAGAGGGAGGGAGGGGGAGAGAGAGAGAAAGAAACGTCAATGTGAGAGAGACACATCGATTGATTGCCTCCCACACCACCCCGACTGGGGTCAGGGATAGAACCTGCAAACCAGATACGTGCCCTTGACCAGGAATCGAACCCATGATCCTTTGGTCTGCAGGCCGACACTCTAACCCCTGAGCCAAACTGGCCAGGGCCATGATCATTCTCTTTAAGAGTCTTTTTAGCCCTGGCCAGTTTGGCTCAGCGGTTAGTGTGCCCGAGGACCAAAGAGTCTCGGGTTCTATTCCAGTTGGGGGCATGTGCCTCAGTTGCATTTCAGTCCCCAGCCCTGGTCGGGGTCATGTGGGAGGCAACCAATCGATGTGTCTCTCTTTCTCCCTCATACTCTATCTGAAGATAAATGGGAAAAAGATCCTCTGGTGAGGATCTTTGAAAGAGAGGGTTTTTTTTAGCCTGGCCGGTGTGGATCAGTGGATCAATGTTTCTCTCTCATTGATGTTTCTATCTATCTCCTCTTCTCCCTTCTTCTCTATCTAAAAAAAAAAAATCAATAAAATATATATATATATATTTTTAAAGAGTCGTTTTATATCAGTTGCATTGCTTTTGGTATTTAGAACCCTAAATACAAATTATATAAATATACAAAGTCAGATCATTTAATTTGTTCAACAATGATGTACTGATGATATCCTACGTGCCAGGCACTGTTCTAGGCACTGGCAACACAATAGTAAACAAAATAGACAAGATGACAGTTCTCTCAAGGCTCTCAACAAGTAATAAATAAATATGGAGTGTGCCAGATGGTTTTAAGTGCCAACAAGAAAAATAAAGCAAGATACAAAAAGATATGTACCAGGGAAGGGACTGGCATTTTATGTTGGATGATCAGAGAAAGCTTGCTGATAGGTGACATTTGAGTAGAGACCTTAAAAATGAAGGAGTGACCTATATTTAAATCTCAAGGAAGGGCATTCCAAGCAGACCAAAAAAACCCAGTGCCAAAGCCCTTAGGTGGGAAAGTGCCAGTGTGGTTGGAGTGGAAAAAAGGTCAAGTGGGAAGTAGTACAGATTATTCTAGAACCTTGGTCCTCAAAGTGTGATCTTCAGGACCAGCAGCATTAGTTATCAGGATTTAGGAGCATTTAGAAAAGCTGGATGAAGAAACATCCCAGAACCACAGAATCAGAAAGTTCATTTTTTTAAGATCCTCAGGTAATTTAGATGCACATTTAAGTTGGAAAAGTATTGGTCTGGAGTCTTGTAGATCATGGTAAAGACTTTAGTTTCAATGTGAGTCTGAAAGCCATTGGGTTTTGAGCATGGAAGTGACATGCTTTAACCTTTTTTTTTTTTTTTAATCCTCACCTGAGGATATTTTTCCATTTTCTGTTCAGACAGAGTGGGAGAGGAGGGAGGGAGAGAGAGAGAGAAACATCGATGTGAAAGGGACACATCGAGTGGCTGCCACCCACATGACCAACCAGGGCCAGGGACAAACTGCAACCGAGATTCGTGCCCTTAGCGGGAACCGAATCCGAGTCTCTCTGGACCGCAGGCGGACACTCTAACCGCTGAGCCAAACCAGCCAGGGCAGTTTAACCTTTTAAAGGGATCACTATCTACTCTGTGGAGCAGAGACTAAAGAGCAAGGAAAGAAGCAGGGAGGCTAATTAAGAGGCTAATACAATACAATAGCTTGCCTGTGGTAATAGCAGTGGAGGGGATCATAAAGGGTTAGATTCTGAATTTTTTTTTTATTGATTTTAGAGATGGAGAGGAAAGGAGAGAGAGAGAAACATTGATTCTTCTGTTCATTTATGCATTCATTGGTTGCTTCTTATATGTATAGGATCAAACCTGCAACTTTGGTACATCAGGATGATGCTCTAACCAACTGAGCTACCTAACCAGGGCCTGAATATATTTTGAAAGTAGAACCAACAGGGCTGTTGTTGGATCAGATTAGATTTATAGGGCTAGAAAAAGAAAAATCTGGGATTACAAAGCGTTTTGACTTGAGCAGCTGAAAAAATGTAGTTGTCAATGCGACAAGGATATGAGAAGAGCAGGTTTATTTATTATGGTTAATCCTCACCCAAGGCTATTTTTCCATTGATTTTTTTTTTTCTTATAGAGTGGAAAGGAGGGTAGGGGAGAGAGAGACATCAATTGGTTTCCTCCCACATAACCCTGACCAGGGCATGGATAGAACCTGCATTCCAGTTATATGCCCTTGACTGGGAGTCAAACCCGAGATCCTCTGGTCTGTAGGTCAGCGCTCTGACCACTAAGGCAAACCACCCAGGGCAAGAAGAGCAGGTTTAGTCTGTGGAATTCAGGGGAGAGGTCCCAGCTAAAGATATTTTAGATTTAATATTCAGCATGTAGAGGGCATTTAAAGCCATGAGATTAGAGTGAAAGTAGATGGAGAAGAAAAGCAATTTGAAGTCATAAGACCAGAGACAAGTCCAAAATTTAAAGGCTGGAGAGATGAGAAAGAACCAGTAAAGAAACTGAGGACGAGTTATTGAGGCAAAAAGTGAATGAAGGAGCTGAATGGAAGATACATTAAGAGAACATTTCAAAAAGGAAAGGAGATTAACTGCACGTTAAGATTACTGGATTCAGTAATGTGGCAGTTGCTGGCAACCATGATAAAAGCTGGTTTAGAGGAATGGTGGAATAGGCTTATGAGAAAATAGGAGGAGAGAGATTAGAGATGGTAGTAAGTTTAGATAACTTTTTGTTTTGCTTTAAGGAGTATCAAATGAGGTGGTAGCTAGAGGTGGGTGGATTTTTTTTGTACAGTGGGCAGCATCACATGTGTCTGTGCTGAATGGGAATGATCAGAGAGGGAAAAGCTGATAATGCAGAAGGGAAAGGAAACAATTATTGCAACAATATCCTTTAGTAGGTAAGAGAGTAGTAGGTGATCTGGTGCCCAGGGGGAGGAGATGGTTTTATTAGAGCATAGACCATTTACAGCAGCAAAATAGAAAGTAATCTGAGCACAGATGCAGGTAGAACTTGGAGCAGCTGAAAGTTTTCTCCTATCCCCATTCTATTTTCTCAGTGAGAGAGGAAGTGATGCCTTTAACTGGGGGTGAGGTGGGAAAGATCTTGATGTGATGAACAGAGGAAAGTGTGACACATTGCCTAGAAGAAAGTGAATAGGCCTAGGAATTTGTAATAGGCTTATCAGGAAATAATAAGTCACACGTTTCAAGTGAGAATAGTCAGCATGGTAGTGTGTTTTTTTCAAGCCATTTTTAATTGTGTGATTACATGAATGGAGTAAGCAGTCAGTCGGTTTTAATCTAGATTTGCCAGGGAAGTAAATGTGTTACTAGTGGAAAAAAATAGAAATATCATGTCTAACAACAGAGGCATAATAAGTTCATTAAGATACGTACGTTTGCCCTGGCCGGTTTGGCTCAGCGGTTAGAGCATCGGCCTGCAGTCCAGAGAGACCCGGGTTCGGTTCCCACTAAGGGCATGTACCCCGGTTGCAGTTTGTCCCTAGCCCTGGTTGGTCGTGTTGGTGGCAGCCACTCAATGTGTCCCTTTCACATCGATGTTTCTCTCTCTCTGTTCCTCTCTCTCTCTCCCACTCTACCTGAACAAAAAAATGGAAAAATGTCCTCAGATTAAAAAATAAATTAATTTAAAAAAGATACATACGTTAAATGAAATGTTATGCGGTCATTAAAAATTGTTTACGGAAGTTTTATTCATTTTTTTCAGTATGTTTTTATTGATTTTTAGAAAAAGAGGAAGGGAGAGGGAGATAGAAACATTGATGAGAGAGAAACATCAATCGGCTGCCTCCTGCACACCCCCCCACTAGGGACTGAGCCCAAAACTCTGGCATGTGCCCTGACTGGGAATCAAACCAGTGACTTTTTGGTGCATAGGTCAACACTCAGCCACTGAGCCACACCAGCTGGGCTACAAAAGTTTTATAATTGTATTGTAATCTTAAGTTTTAGAAAGACTGGGAATTGAACTGGTGACCCCTTGGTGCATGGGTCGACACTCAACCACTGAGCCACACCAGTGAGGCACCAAAAAATTTGTTCAAAGCCCTGTGAGATATCTGTTATTACTCCCAATATACAGAAGAGGAAACTGAGACTTAGTAAGCTAAGTAGCTTGGCCTAGTAAATGTTCAAGCCAAATGTAAACCTAAAGCAGTGTGGCTTCAAAGTGAAGAGGGATATGATCCAAGAGAATTAACTGATTGTAATTTTTTTAAAATAGATTATTGGTAATCTTTGATATAATCATTGTTGGATTGGTAAATCTTAAAAACTAGATTGCAGGGAATTGAGAGAAAGATTAGACAAAATTTAAAAGGGATATGGTAGCAAGATCAAATGAAAGGCATTGAGCCCTTTTCTTTGTTTTAAAGAAGGGAGGCCTGAGCATGTTGGCAGGATAAGAGCAGCAAGCCCCCCAGAGGATAAAGCCAAAGATGAAATACAGGAAATAAATCTTTGATTCATTAAGACAGGTTAGCTTTAGAAGAGAAAATCCTTTCACTTGAGACTCAAGGGAAGAATTGGAAGATGTTGGCAGAGTGATTTGTAGATAGGGTGACAAGATAATATGAGGGATCCCATGCTTTGGGTCTCATTAGTAAGTGTAGAAGGAATGATAGAGATAGAAAAGTCACCATTTAGTAAATACCACAGTAATAATTGTGGCAGGCAAGAATCATAACTTAGCCCTGGCCGGTTTGGCTCAGCAGTTAGAGCGTCGGCCCGCAGACCAGAGAGTCCCGGGTTCAGTTCCCACTAAGGGCACGTACCTCAGTTGCAGTTTGTCCGTGGCCCTGGTTGGGGTCATGTGGGTGGCAACCACTTGGTGTGTCTCTCTCACATCGATGTTTCTCTCTCTCTCTTCCTCCCTATCTCCCTCCCGTTCTATCTGAAGATAAATGCAAAAATGTCCTCGGGTGAGGATTTTAAAGAAAAAAAGAATCATAACTTAGATGAGGGGGCAAATATGATGAGAAATGAGATATTTGCATAGTTTCAAAGTATCTCCCCACAGGATACTTATTAATTGCAAAGGGTAAAAAGGTAACTTTACAGTGAGGACACCAGTAAACACTACCAAGTAATCAAAGTTAACATCACCAGTAATAAGACACAGACATCGCGTACTTCTTTGTATGATGCATCCCTTCCATGGTAATTTGTGAAAAATGCATGACCTCAGTCTACTGATGAGAAGATATCAGACAAACCCAAACTGATGGACATTCTATAGAATAACTGGCTAGTACACTTCAAAGGTGTCAAGATCATGAAAGACAAAGATTGAAGGAGACATGACAACTGAAAGCACTGTGGTATGCTAGATTGGATCCTGAACCAGAAAAAGGGGCATGGATAGAACAACTGGCAGAATTCAGATAAGGTCTGTAGATTAGTTAATAGCATCGGATTAATTAATTTTAATTGCTTCATTTAGAATAGGTCTTTGTACCATGTTATATATGTTAACATTGTCTGGGAGAAAGTACAGGAACTCTGTATTGGTTTTGCTATATCTGTAATTTCGAAAAATAAAGAGTTTGTATTCACTACTAACTACTGTAAGTTGAACAAGTCACATAACTATTCTGACAATTTCTTTTCCCATAAAATAGGCATAATTCTGTCTGCTTTGTATAGCTCAGAGATAACGATGAAATTCAAGTAAGGCTTTAATTATAAAATAGAACAAAATGTAATATATTATTATAATAGGTTACACTGAAATGATTATTTCTTTTGTGATTCTACCAACAAAAGCAATAAACTCAATGTTCTGCCCTGAATAGAATTTACCAAAAAGGCCTCTCCCCTCTGATCAGTTTCTTTCATCTTTATAGCATTTCAGGCTGCCTTCCGAGCTCAGGGGCCCCTGGCAATGCTGGAGCACTTTGATACTGTCTATAGCATTCTACAGTAAGTAAAGCGCTCACTGATGCTTTAAAAAGAACCGATGGATGTTTGACCTAACTTTGCATGTTAGTCCTAAATTTCCAAGTCATGTGCACTGATAAATGGTTCTGCATGCTGATATCTCTCCTGATGAGCATTTACACCAGCTTGCCACCGTATTTATTCATTTGAGCAATTTCACATGTATTTTTAGCCATTAGATTCTTCAAGTTAGATGTGATATGTTAGAATGGGCTCTGCAGGTTCCTGTCTCACTCCTGCACTTTCTTTCCCTTGTAGTCACTTTCGAAGTATAGATCCTGGCCTCAAGGAAGATGCCCTGGAATTCCTGATAAAAGGTGTTTGGGACTGGGGGAAGGCGGTAGGGTATAGAAAGTGTTTGTTGTTTGTTTATTTACTACATTATCAGCCACATGATGATATCAAGGCTGTGGTGATTCAGTTGGTTTGGCTAAGTCTGGGGAACTTTGACCTATTAAGGTCTGTAATCTTGGTGGACAATACAGAGTTATGTGTGTTCACTGTAAGGGCAGACCGACAAGAAATTCTTCCTGCTTTTGAACTATTTCTCTTTCATAGAGATGATTCTTCCCAGTTGCCAGGAAGAAACTGTGGTAACTGGAGTGAGAAAGTAGGAAGAGACAGGGCATGTTCATGGTATCAGAGTCAGGGGTCTCAAAGGACTTAGCTTGTGTTGTGACCACTGAGAGATGAAACACAGATCTTTGGTAATCTGATGGCTGCAAATGCAGGGTGTTTTGAAGTTGGGGTATTATGAGGAAAGTGATGAAACTGACTCCAGATTTTGTCCTTTGCAGTGGTATCCCGTCATGCTCAGGAACTTCCAGCTGTCCTAGATGATACAACTTTGAGTATATCAGATAGAAACGCCCACTTAAATGCCCTCAAAATGAACTGCTATGCTCTGGTACGCCTCTTGGAATCCTTTGAGACCGTGACCAGCCAGACAAGTCTCGTGGACCTGGACCTTGGTGGGAAGGTAACTTGGAGTTCCTGACTCATTTAATATGGGTCCTGGAAGGATGGGGGAATTGATAGAAGAGAATCCAATGATTCTGAGATTCCTTTCTGTTCTTATTTAGGGTTTATGAGGAAGTGCTCAGAAGTATCACAACATACCCTTCTGTGACAGGCAGCTCTTTTATACTTTAGAACTTGTAATACTTCTGTGTTACCTTCTACCTGTCTCGATGCTGGTTAGTTTAGGCACTCAGACTAGCAGATCTTGACTCTCTCTTTTTTTCCTAAATGTATACATGATCTTTTTTTAGGGTAAGAAAGCCCGGGCCAAGTCAGCCCATGGCTTTGACTGGGAAGAGGAGAGGCAACCTATTCTTCAGCTTTTAACACAGCTGCTTCAGTTGGACATTCGTCACCTGTGGAACCACTCAGTAATTGAAGAGGAGTTTGTCAGGTAGGCAGTTAAAATTACGACAGACAAAAGGCTTTCATGCTAGACCTGCCTTTTAAATACTTAATTTCATGCCTCAGTTGTATGTGTAAAACGTAGACATATACTCATAACATTGAGTTATTAGGAAGTAGATAATAAATGTTAGAAACTACTGTGGATTTCTCGCCTTTTATTTTATTTTATTTTTAATTTCTCATTTTAATACCAATGTATTCATTCATGAAACAGTATTTACTGAGAATCTCCTGGGTGCATGGCTGTTATCTTTAAAGGCACTGGAAACAAACTTTCTGCCCTCTTAGTTTATATTATAGAGCAGAAGCCAATTTTTAAAATAAGTAGAACATATAGTATGTTTTATGGTATTTTACTATGGGGAAAAATGGAAGCAGGGGACATTTGATGGAAGAAGGTTGTGATTTTATTTATTTATTTTTTTAATCTTCATTTGAGGATATATTTTTTCCATTGAATTTTAGAGAGAATGGAAGGGAAGGAGTGGGGCGGGGAGAAACAATAATGTGAGAGAGACACAGCAACTGGTTGCCTCCTGCATGTGCCCTGACCAGGACCAGGGATCGAACCTGCAACTCAGGTACGTGCCCTTGACTGTGAATCGAGCCCAAGACCCTTCAGTGTGTGGGCCAATGCTCTGTCCACTGAGCCACACTGGCCAGGATGAAGGTTGTGATTTTAAAATCAGTTGTTCTGGCAATGTCTCTTTGTCAGTGACATTTGAGCAAAGACCCAGAGGAGGTAATCAGAGCCATGAGACTATCTGGAGGAAGAGCAAGGGTAAGGAAAGGGAACAACAAAAGCAAAGACCCTGAGGAGGGCGTGTGTCCAGCGTATATAAGGACTAACAATGAGGCCAGAGAGACAACAGCTGAGAAGAGGGATAAGCTATGAGGTCAAGGGGGCAGTGGGCAGCCAAACTATGCAGATCCTTGTAGGCTATCATGTGACTGGCATTTCCTCAGAATGAGATGGGACCCCTCAAGGGTTCTAAGTAGGACATTAGGTAGTCTTTTTTTTCTTTGATTGATTTTAGATAGAGAAGAAGGGAGAGGGAGAGAGAGAAACATCAATGAGAGAGAACATGGACTGGCTGCCTCCTGCATATCCCCTAGTGGGGATCAGGCCCACAACCTGGGCATGTGCCCTGACCAGGAATTGAACCAATGACCTCTTGGTGCATGGGCCGATGCTCAGCCACTGAGCCAGGCTATTAGGTAGTCTTAATTGCTCTTTACAGGGTCACCCTTGCGATTGTGTTGAAACAGACTATGGAGGAAAAGGAGGGAAGCAGCTAACCAGTTAGGAAGCTTTTGCTATAACTTGGGCAAGAGATGATGGTAATTTAGACCAGAGAGTAGTAGTGGAGATGAGAAGTGGTTGTAGTTCACAGTTTTTCTAACGGTAGAGCTTGCAAGATGAGGTGACAGATCTGTGTAAGGTTTGAGGGAGAGTGCGTCGAGGATGGTAGTCTAAACATTTGAAAGAATGGAATTGCCTGTAACAAATATGGGGGGGAGCTGTGGAGGCGTGTTTTGGGGGGAACAATTAGAAGTTATGTTTTTTATATATACAAAGTTTGAAGTACTAATTAGACATCCAAGTGATGTCAGATGCAGATGTAGAATGTACAGATCTGGAGTACAGGAGAGAGGTGTGGCCTAGAGGTACACATTTGGGAATACATGTATTTATCACTATGAGATTACTAAGTCAGTAAGTAGCTACACTAGAACAGAAATCCAAAGACTATACCCTGAGGCACTCCAGCGTTAAGAAGGTGGGGTGATGAAGAGGGACCATCCAAAGAAACAGAGGGGAGTTTGGCATTCTGGAAGCCAAATGAAGCATGTTTCAAGGAGAAAGGAGTGATCGACTATGTCAAATGGAGTTGAAAGGTCAATTAAGATGACTTTGTCCACCCCTGTATTCCTGTTCTGTACAGGCATCATAACTGGTTGGAAGTTGGTAATCTTAAAGGACCAAGTACCTGTCTGGGGTCAGCAAAGCAACTTGGTGTAGATGGTGGTAGATAAAATGAAGAAAACTAGAAGACCCTGACTTTGGAGGCATTAGAAATAGAACAAATGAAGCAGAGCCCTAATATAAATGAGTCTGGACAACTGATTTCCTCAACTCACTTTCTTCCTTTCTCAGTTTGGTCACTGGTTGCTGTTACCGCCTTCTGGAGAACCCCACCATTAGTCACCAGAAGAACCGCCCCACCCGGGAAGCCATAACACACCTGCTTGGTGTAGCCTTGACACATTATAACCATATGCTCAGTAAGTTAGCCCTTCACTTTGTCCCATCTTTTTCATTTTGCCCATAGTTTCTCATGTTTTGTACTTCCACAGGTGCCACTGTTAAGATCATCCAGATGCTGCAGCACTTTGAACACCTGGCACCTGTACTGGTGGCAGCTGTGAGTCTGTGGGCAACTGATTATGGAATGAAGAGCATAGTGGGAGAGATTGTAAGGTAACTAACTCTTCCACTTCTAAGTTTCTAATTCTCGTTTTTCTCAGGGAGAAGATAAAGATTGAAAATACAGTATATTCTCTATGCAACACTAGATTCCTTCAGCTATTAGACATCAGTCTTACCTTCTCTTACTGGGAACTTACTATCTTGCTCTGGCTGTGTTTTCTTCCCTTCATAGAGAGATTGGACAGAAGTGTCCCCAGGAGCTGAGTCGGGATCCTACAGGAGCAAAGGGCTTTGCAGCCTTCTTGACAGAACTAGCAGAACGTATTCCAGCGATCCTGATGTCCAGCATGTGCATTTTGCTAGATCATCTGGATGGAGAGGTAGGTGGTACTCTAGGGGATGTCAGGTTTTTCTGGGGGCTTTAAGTCCATTTCTTTTTTTTTTTATCCTCACCCAAGGACATTTTTTCATTTTTTGTTCATGTAGAGTGGGAGGGATAGAGAGGAACAGATTGAGAGAGAGAGAGAAACATCGATGTGAAAGAAACACATCGAGTGGCTGCCACCCGCACGACTGACCAGAGCCGGGGACAAACTGCAACCGAGGTACATGCCCTTAGCGGGAACCAAACACGGGTCTCTCAGGACCAAAGGCCGACGCTCTAACCGCTGAGCCAAACCGGCCAGGGCTTTAAGTCCATTTCTTAACAAGGTAGCTTTCACATGAAGTCAAGTTGTCTGGTATTATCACTGTGGTAGTTCCTTCCTGTGGAGAAGCAGATGAAGTTTATTGAATAAAGAGCCTACTTCAATGTCACATTGAAGTTTTATCCACGTCTGGTAGGGGAGGTGATAGTTCCACAGCTCAGTCATAGAGAGTACTCAGTTGTGATTCTGAATCCCAACTGTTTCTTAGGATGAAGCATCTTTCTACCATCTGATTCTGCTTGCTTCCTCCATATACAGTAGTAAACTTTCTCAAGTCAACCCACATCATCTCTCTCAATTCTCTTTTATCTCTGAATACTAACCTGGCCATTTCCTAAACTAATGTGGGGCACTCCAAGATGAATATCAAGGACAAAGACAGTCCATTTATTCATCTAATTTACTTTAACATCTTGTGCAAGACCCCATTTTCTGGCCTAGAAAACAACCCCAAACCCTCTTCTTCACCGGATTCTGTAATGGAGTTGCTGGCACTGTAGAATTGATTTCCGTTTTTCTGTTTCATTTTCTGTCATTAGATAGGGGAGTGGGAGGGAAGGAAGTGTTTATTAGTAAGGATCAAAGGTGGTAAGACCTCAGGTGAAAGGTAGTAATTAATGCTTTTCAAATGTATATTGATGGATAATATGAATTCATATTCATCTACCACCATGATTACCTGGATGAATTGTAGGGGGAAATAGTTTTTGGCTCTTGTTTATTTTGTCTCTACATTCTCCTCTGAGCAAACAAGGCCCCTCTGGGATTTAGCTTTTTCCAGTAATAGTTATAACTAAGACAAGCAAGCTCAACCTTGACTAAAGGCTTTGCCCCTCTTTGTGCTTGGACGAGCATAAGAATTTAGGAAAGGGACAGTTGGTATTGGAGTGCAGAGGCTCGTACCAAACTCATCTCTCTCTCTCAGAATTACATGATGCGCAATGCTGTGCTCGCAGCCATGGCAGAGATGGTGCTGCAAGTTCTGAATGGTGATCAGCTGGAGGAAGCAGCCCGAGACACCAGAGACCAGTTCTTGGACACCCTGCAAGCCCATGGCCATGATGTCAACTCCTTTGTACGAAGCCGTGTTTTGCAACTCTTTACCCGAATTGTCCAGCAGAAGGTAAACAGCCTTCTACCTGAAAAAGACATATGGTACTCCTCTATGTATAGGCCAAAGAAAAGAGGAATCCAGTATAAAAAACATATATATCTATTCCAAACAAGAGTCTAGAATTCAGGTTGTTACTACCAGTAATAAAGATCTTTGTCTATCACAGGGCAAGGATGTCTGGCTGCATTCAAGGACTATACTATGTATTAGCCACTGCAGAGAGTACTCCTTAACTATTTTATATCCCATAGAAAAGTTTCTTTGGAGTGAATGTGTAGCTCGTTTAGAGTTCACTACAAGATCATCTTGAGCAGAAAGGATGATGTGGGTTGTGAGCTGATTCTTCCCTTTCTACCCCTCATAGGCTCTCCCCCTGACACGTTTCCAGACAGTGGTGGCCTTAGCAGTGGGCCGTCTGGCAGACAAGTCGGTGCTAGTATGTAAAAATGCTATCCAGCTGCTGGCCAGTTTTCTCACCAATAATCCCTTTTCCTGCAAGGTAAGCCGACTTGGGCCATCCAAAAGAGAAGGAATTAAATGGAAATAGGGATGAAATTATGTGACTTAATGACCCTGATACTCATTTTACCTTGATAGCTTAGTGATACTGACCTTGCTGGCCCACTGCAGAAGGAAACCCAGAAATTACAAGAGATGAGGGCTGAGAGGCAAACTGCTGCAGCTGCTTGTGAGTAGTAACTGCATAGGAATCCCCACCCTAGACAGTCTTCTCCCTGCAACAGAAACTCCAGTGAGAGAGTCTGAGGGAGACTTTGTCATTCAGCCGCAGTGCTGGACCCAGAGGAGGAGTGGGAAGCCATGCTGCCAGAGTTGACGTCTACCCTACAACAACTGCTAAAACTTCCCCAGGAAGAAGAGATTCCTGAGAAAATTGCCTCTACAGAGACCACTGAAGAGGTGAAAGGACGCATTCGTCGGTTGCTTGCCAAAGCTAGTTACAAGTATGTGAAAGAATGAGGTATTCTGTAATGACCTATTTAAGTTTATAGTTTAACTTTTGAGATACAATATTTCTTTAAAATGAATTGTACTTAGAATATGCTGCCACTAGGTATTTTCACTGTAGTAATGGTCTGAACATCGGATTTATGCTAGAGGCATAGTCCACAATTAAGCATGCTTTTCAACTCTTTTTAACGTTTTTTTATTGATTTCACAGAGAGGAAGGGAGAGGGAGAGAGAGATAGAAACATCAATCAGCTGTCTTTTGCATGCCCCCCACTTGGTGTTGAGCCCGCCTGCAACCCAGGCATGTGCCCTGACTGGGAATCGAACTGGCGACCTCCTGGTGCATGGGATGATGCTCAACCAACTGAGAGGCATATCGGCTGGCCCCAGCCAGGGCTTTAATGTTTTTTTAAAGCAGAAATTTACTTTTTTTTCTTTATTGATTTTGGAGAGAGGGGGAAAGAGAGATGGAAACATCAATGAGCGAGAATATTGACTGGTTGCCTTCTGTGTTTCCCCACTGGGGATCTGGCCCACAACCTGGGCATGTACCCTGACCAGGAATCAAACCAGTGACCACATGGTGCATGGGTCGACACCCAACCACTGAGACACACTGGTCAGGCAAAAACAGAAATTTTTCTTTTTTTTAAATCCTTACCCAAGGATATTTTTTTCATTTATCTTCAGACAGAGTGGGAGAGAGAGGGGTGTTTGGGGTGGGGGGAGAAGGAAACATGTACCCTTGACTGGAATTGAACCCACAACTCTTTGGTTTGCGGGCCAACACTGTAACCGCTGAGCCAAAACAGCTAGGGCCATAAATTTACTTTTAAAAAATTAGATAGTGCCCGGCTGCGTGGCTAAGTGGTTGAGCCTCAACCCCTGCACCCTTCCTGTCTCTAAGATCAATAAAGAAAAAAAACATTTTTAAAAAGTTATATAGCCCTGGCCTGTTTGGCTCAGCGGTTAGAGTATCAGCCTGTGGTCCAGAGGGACCCAGGTTCGGCTCCCGCTAAGGGCACATACCTCGGTTGCAGTTTGTCCCCTGCCCTGGTTGGGTTGCGTGGGTGGCAGCCACTCGATGTGTCCCTTTCATGTCAATGTTTCTCTCTCTCTCTCTCTCTCTCTCTCCCTCCCTCCCTCCTACTCTATCTGAACAAAAAAAATGGAAAAATGTCCTCAAGTGATGATTAAAAAAAATAAAGATAAAAAAAATTATATAGTACTTTCACATGGTATGAAATTTTAAATTATTAAAAGGACATGCCATGAAAAGTCCCTTCCAAACCTATTCCCAGCCACTTAGTCACACAGGGAAGCAACAATCATAGTTTATTGAGTGTTCTTCTAGGGATAACACAAGTGATAGAATTTTTACACAAGTGATAGAATTTTCTACCCACTGATCTATCACCTTGCTTTTTTCACTCAACTAGGTATCTCAATGTCTTTTAATATTTGTACATAAATAGCTGCCTCAGTGCTTTTTATGGCTACTGAGAATCCCATTGTGTGGATGTACCAAAAATTAACCGGGTATTGAAAGTTTATTTTTTCCAAACTTTCACTTGGAAAAAATTTCAAACAGATTTTTGGAATAGGGTTGTGATTTTTTAAATTTCAAAGCCTATTTGAGTGTTTTTGAAGACTATAGTTAAGTCATATCACTTCAGAAATAGCAAGTATTTGAGCTCTACCCCTTCATAGATACTTAAATGTAAAAAGTGTTCCTTTTCCTTGGGACACTTTCTAGGTACTTTCAAGTTCTAGGTGCTTGATGGGGTTATCAGGTAGGTTCCGTTATATCTACAATAACACTGTTGTATGTCAATTATTTTTGTTTTCCTTTCCATTTTAGCAGTTCTTAAATTTTTTAACATTTTATTGTTGATATTATTATAGATGTCTCCCATTTTCTCCCTTTTGCCCCCCTCTACCTTCAATTATAATTCTTTTTAAAAGGCTGCAGTAACACTTATTTTTTGTTTTTATTGTTACAGGTGTCCCTCCTTTTTCACCATTCACATACTCCTCTCACTCTCGCCCCCCCCCCCCCCCAACTTTCACAGTATTATTGTCTGTGTCCGTGCAGTGACACTTTTATGGGTACTGAATTGGTGACAGGTTGATGTTCTTCTAGGCAGGCCATCATTCTCACTCAAGAAGCCCTGGGCCACTTCCAGGAGTCTGAACCCTTCAATCATATGGACTCAGAGGAGGTAGAGGAGACCAGGTTTCTGAATCTCTTAGAAACTATCTTCAAAGGTAATTCCCTTTTCTTCTTCAGTCAACAAACAGAACATTTCAGCTAGTGTTTATGGACCATTTATTTTGTGCCAGACACTGGTGTACCTAACAGAACCTCATGCTAAAAGAGGCCGAAGGGGAGTTGGCAATGCTCCTGCTCTAGAGTGGAAGCAGCTTCCAGGCCCAAAATTGATAGTCACAGGGTGTGAAAGGGTGTTTCCAAACTACTGAAAACTTTAGAAATCTTGTTTGAGAAATGAACCAAGATATTTTAGAATAGGTTCTAAATTTATACTTTTTTTTGTGGAAAGAAATATTCAAGATATTATAGGTGTTGGATTTCCCCATCTTGAACATTCTCTAACTCCTAGATCCATCAGCTTCCATACAGGAGAAGAATCCCCAGGTATCTGCAGAGAACATGGGCCCAGAACAGACTGACTATAAAGACAAACCTGAGAAATCCAAGGGAAAGGACGAACTGGTGAAGCAAGAGATGCTGGTGCAGTATCTGCAGGACGCCTATAGCTTCTCTTTGAAGATTGCAGAAGCCATTGGTATCATAAGCAAGATGATGTATGAAAACACAACCACAGGTGTGGTGTGCCAAAGTCCCTTTCTATAAGGACTGGGTCTTGGGGTTGGAAAAACCAGTTCGTCCATATTTTATTGATACCTAGCTGCTCCCTTTTTTTTCCTTTATTGATTTTAGAGAGAGAGGAAGGGGGAGGGAGAAAGAGATGGAAACATTGATGAGAGAACATTGATTGGCTGCCTTTTGCATGTCCCACACTGGGGATTTGGCCTACAACCTTGGGCATGTACCCTGTCCGGGAATTGAACCAGTGACCTCTTGGTGCATGGGTTGATGCTCAACCACTGAGTCACACCTGCTGGGCCCTAGCTGCTCCTTTGTTTTTTTATTTTTTTTATCCTCACCCGAGGACTTTTTATTTATTTTTTTGCATTTAGTTTCAGAGAAAGCGGGAGGGTGAGAGAAAGAGAAACATCAATGAGAGAGACACATCGAGTGGCTGCCACCCACACAACCCTAGCCAGGGCCGGGGACAAACTGCAACCGAGCTATGTGCCCTTAGCGGGAACCAAACCTGGGCCTTTCTGGACCGCAGGCTGACGCTCTGGCCGGTGGGGAACACACAGGAGTTGACCAGTCAATGTTCTTTCTCATCGATGTTTCTATCTCTCTTCCTCTCCCTTCTCTCTTTAAAAAATCAATAAAGGAACAAATTTTTCAATTAAATTAAATAAAAGGAAGGGATTCTTGCCCTGGCTGGTGTAGCTCAGTTGGTTGGGTGCATCAAAAGGTTGCTGGTTGGATTCCAGGTTAGGGCACATACCCAAGTTGCAGGCTCGATACCTAGTATGGGGTGTGCAGGAGGTAGGCGATCAGTGTTTTGCTCTCACATGGAGGTTTCTTTATCTCTATTCCTCTCCCTTCCTCTCTAAAAATCAATTAAATAAATAAAAGGAAGGAATTCCTTTTTTTAATATGTTTTTATTGATTTTTAGAGAGAGAGGTAGAGGGAGAGAAAGACAGAAACATAAATGAGAGAGACACATCGATTGACTGCCTCTCCTGCACACCCTCAATGGGAATTGAGCCTGGAACCCGAGCATGTTCCCTGACCAGGAATAGAACCAGTGACCTCTTGGTCCATGCACTGACACTCAACCAGAGCCACACTGGCTGGGCAGAAGGAATTATATTTTTGGTTTGCTGTGAATAGCCCCATGGAGCTTACCTGTTTTAATGCGTATAATACTTCATGATAGAGTGTTAGAGGAGTCAGCAGTGTAAAAGAGAATAAGGAAGGGCCTCCATTTGCACATTACTACATCAAGAAAGGTTCTGCCCTGGCCGGTTTGGCTCAGCGGTTAGAGCGTTGGCCTGCGGTCCAGAGAGACCCGGGTTCGGTTTCCGCTAAGGGCACGTACCTCGGTTGCAGTTTGTCCCTGGCCCTGGTCGGTTGTGCGGGTGGCAGCCACTCGATGTGTTCCTTTCACGTCGATGTTTCTCTCTCTCTCTCTCTGTTCCTCTCTCTCCCTCCCACTCTACCTGAACAAAAAATGGAAAAATGTCCTCGGGTGAGGATAAAAAAAGAAAGGTTCTATTTTTGATTTGGGGGGAGGGCAGTTTTTCCAAGCAGATGGGTGACGATTGTGTGTCCTCTCAGTGGTACAGGAGGTGATTGAATTCTTTGTGATGGCATTCCAATTTGGGGTGCCTCAGGCCCTGTTTGGGGTACGCCGCATGTTGCCCCTCATCTGGTCTAAGGAGCCTGGTATCAGGGAAGCTGTGCTCAATGCCTACCGCCAACTTTACCTCAACCCCAAAGGGGACTCTGCCAGGTATATGGGGTGCTTTGCCTTTGCTGACTTTTCTGAGGTCAGCTTCTAATAGGATGTTCCTAGTCTTCTGGGAACGGGGGGTAAAGGGTGGGGGCATCCTTCTACAGGAGTTCTGAATCTATAAGCAGTAGGTCTATAAGGGGGCTCAGGGTGGAGCTGAACTTTCAGTGAGACCCATCCTAAGCAGTACTTGACACTGTGGGGGGGGGGGGGGGATAGCCCTAATCACCTGTTTGCCACATGTAGTATGTCAGTCTTCTAATGACCCCTGATCTTGGCTGTTCCCACAGAGCCAAGGCCCATGTTTTGGTTCAGAATCTGTCTTTGCTGCTAGTGGATGCCTCAGTTGGGACCATTCAATGTCTTGAGGAAATTGTAAGTTTCTTTACTTTTTCTTTATTCATTCAACAAGTATTAGTGATTACTGTGTGTTCAGCAATTTACTCAGCCCCACAAAGGATATAATTATTTGCTTCCAAGTTTCCAACTTAAAAGGAACCAACAGTTTAGTTGGTAGCCAAAAAACACAACACCCTTATTGAACAATGCAGCACAGGCAATGGTTACAGTAGTAATAGTAATATAATAACATTGTGTATGCCAGGCACTGTTCTTAGCACTTTTATTCGTATTGATGTGTTTAATCCTCACAACAGCCCTGTGTGGTAATTCTGTTATCTACTTTCACAATGAGAAACCTGAGGCACAGAGAAGTTAAAGAACTCGACTAGTTACAGCTAAGTTAGTGGCAAAGTTTGAGATTCTAACTCAGGCAGAAGAGCTCCAGAAAACAGTCTTAACTGGTGTGTTATACTGATGGATACAGAGTGGGACAGAGCAGTGTGAGGTGGAAGGGGCAAGGAAAGCTTCTGAACATGGTAGGACTCAACTGGGGTCTTGATGAGTAGGATTTAGAGAATTTAAGGAAGAAGGGAAAGCATTTCAGACAGAAAACCAAGAAAGCATAGCCTGTGTTGAATGAGGGAGATTGTGTTCCGGCTCAAATTGTTATCTGGAAAAGATAATAAAACTGGGAATGTGAGTTGGACCTAAACTAAGAAGGTCCCTGAGTGCCTTTCAAGAGTCTAGGGTTTTAACCTTGTTAGCCAGGGAGCCCAGCATTTTAGGTTTGTCTGCCCTGAAGCATTTGGATTATGAAGACAAAGGTGGAGGTGGTGCTCACCATCAGTTTCCACTGGCAGGAGCCCTACTGCCAGCCACATTTTTCTCACTCCTGGGAAAAGCAGAGCCTGGTGGTGCTACTGGCCTCAAGATCCCATTTTCTACCTTTTGGTCCAAGCCCCTATAGTAGGCAAAGGAGAAGGGTTTCTAACTGTTGGGCCACAGTGTGGCATGAGGAAGTGGGTGTCTGGGCGACTGATCCAGCAGTAGCATACAAGTTGGTTGGAGCAGAGACAAGGGACAGGAAGGTCCCTGGAGGCTGCTGTAGGTGTGCAGTGACAAGGTGGGGCTGGACTCTGGAGATGGGAGGGAAAGCTATAGAATTGCACTTAACGGAAGACAAATGTTAAAGGAAGAATAGGTAGGACGGAGTGACTGATTCATAAAAGAAATAGGTAACTGAAATTTTAAGCATATGTGACTTAGAGTGTTGGTACATATCACTGGCAGAATGAAAAGGCAAGGAAGGCTAATGGCTTCCATTTTAGACGTGTTGGGTTTGTAGTAATGGCAAGAAACCTAGAAACCTCCAGAATGTACTCAGAACTATAGAGCCACATGGAACTCAACAAGATCAGTTTCAGTATGTCATCTTAATGAATGTTGTTTTGAAGGCATGAGAGTAGAAAAATAGCAGAGACAGAAGCACCTCCCCAAACCCTACTTCTCATTTTGAGCCGCCTCCTTCCTTTTCCATTCCTGAGGGTTGTTTTACCCACTTCAGGTTCTCAGTGTTCTCTTAGAGAGTGGACCAAGGATCAGGGCAATTGTTATTTTTTAGCCTCAATCTTTTTTTTTTTCCTTCAGATCTGTGAGTTTGTGCAGAAGGATGAATTGAAACCAGCAGTGACCCAGCTGCTTTGGGAGCGGGCAACTGAGAAAGTCCCCTGCTCCCCTCTGGAGCGCTGTTCCTCTGTCATGCTTCTTGGAATGATGGCACGGTGAGGCTCAAATCCAGACGGGCAGTAGGGTGAGAGAGGAAAGGAAGGTTCTGAAAAGGTTTCCTGTCCTTCAGTAATAGCAGTCAGACCCAGCTGAGCCCTGTGTTTGAGCTGGCTGCCTAAATGGGAAATAAAATAGTGCAAGTACCAGCACCCCCGCCTAGAGAAATAGTAGAGTCAATAGAGAAAGAGGGCCTGGCTGAGCGTCAAGCTCAGTGGTTGAGTGTCAAGCCATGTACCAAGAAGTCACCAGTTCGATTCCTGGTCAGGGCACACGCCCAGGTTGTGGGCCAAATCCCCAGTAGGGGGCATGCAGGAGGTAGCCAGTCAATATTCTTGCTCATCGATGTTTATATCTCCCTCTCCTTTTCCCTAAAAATCAGTAAGAAAATTTAAAATAATAGAGAAAGAGGGATTCCGAGGGGCAACCCTGTATCAGAGCCTCTGTAGTGTTCCAAAGCTCTGGAAGCCCTGTGTTAGGTGTAGGTACCTACCTACTCCCCAGCATTGTCCACCAACTCAGAGTCCTGTCCATGAGTACCTCTTTAATCCCACGGTTTCCTTCCCCTAGAGGAAAACCAGAAATTGTGGGAAGCAACTTAGACACACTGGTAAGCATAGGGCTGGAAGAAAAGTTTCCACAGGACTACAGGCTGGCTCAACAGGTGTGCCATGCCATTGCTAACATCTCTGACAGGAGAAAGGTAAGTGGGGTGGTTACACCCAAACTGAGAACGGGGGTCCTTTTATCCACCCTCCACACACCCACATGCTGTCCTTCTTGTTCTCAATAGCCTTCTCTGGGCAAACGTCACCATCCCTTCCGGCTACCTCAGCAACACAGGTTATTTGAGCGACTACAGGAGATGGTCACAAAAGGTGAGCTATCATGAAGGGCCTTGGGCAGAACTGAGTCCTTTGTCTGTTTCGGACAACTTCTCTCTTCTTCTCTGCAGGCTTTGTCCACCCAGACCCACTCTGGATCCCCTTTAAAGAGGTGGCTGTGACCCTCATTTACCAGCTGGCAGAGGGCCCGGAGGTGATCTGTGCCCAGATACTGCAGGGATGTGCGAAGCAGGCCCTAGAGAAGCTAGTGGAGAAGAGCACCTCCCAGGGTGACACGAGTAAGTGGGCAAGAGGGTCGTGGGCCCAGTAGGCAGCAGCCAGCTTCTGCTGCTTTCCCTGCCAGGGCAGAAGCCATTTCCTACAACCACCCTTGACCCCCTTCGGCCCACACTATTGCATTTTTGTCATTCACGCTGAGCCAGTCACCACCACCATTTCCCCGACCCCCATCTCTTGCTTCTGCACTAGTTTGTGTAAAGAGCAAGGAGATCAGTGAAAACAGGATGCAGAGTCCTGTGAGACTTGATAATGTCTTTTTCTCCCTGCCTTTCCTCGCCCCTCCAGAGGAGACCCCCACGCTCTCCACTTTCCTGTTGATGAACCTGCTGTCCCTAGCTGGGGATGTGGCTCTGCAGCAGTTGGTGCATTTGGAACAGTCAGTGAGTGGAGAGCTCTGTCGGCGCCGAGTTCTTCGGGAAGAACAGGAAAATAAAACTAAAGAGCCAAAGGAGAAGGTGAGTGGAGTGCCTGGGCATTTGGGGTCATGTCCCAAGCATTTCCCAGATTTGTTTCATGACACGGGCCATTCACACTTCCTTCTGGGGATCTGTGCTTCTTCCCTACTATTAAATGAAATGAAGATGACATTCTGCCTCGTTGCTGCTACTTCTCTGGGAAAGATTAGTGAGAACAAAGAAGAAGCAGTCTGTCTGTGATCTCTCACAAAGGAAAGTTTTAGGTAAATACAGAGCATTTAGTTGGATCCTCGGCATGAAATAGAGGCTCTGCCTGAAGCAGTGTTAGTTAGAACACGCACACAGCATCAGCTTGCATCAGCTTTCGTGACTGGGCCTGCCACTTGGCGGGACCTTGTATTCTGCCCCCTGGAGGCAGTGATGTCTTTCAGACATATAAGACACAGCCTTGCAGCAATGGGATAAGGTCTGACCTTCTCTTCGACCTTGAGCCATTGTCTGGTATGGTCCGTCTATCATCTATTCTATGATGAGTTAAGAGATGTAGAATATAGCAACTTAAAAACATATAGAGGAACTAGTTCTTTTCCTTTTAAATTCAGGAGTCCTTCCTCTCTACAGACACATTTGACAGTACTATGAGTGGTTTTGCAGAATCGCTTTCCCCAGATCCATTCATGTAAAATTAAGGTAGGCTGGAATCAAAACTTGTCTCTGATCGCCCATGATCTCCGGCTTCTTTCCCACTAGAATGTAAGCACTGAGACCACCATGGAGGAAGAGATGGGGCTGGTCGGGGCCACTGCTGATGACACAGAGGCAGAACTAATCCGTGGCATCTGTGAGATGGAACTGTTATGTGGTAAGAAGAATGACTGAGTGACCTCCTCCCTAACTAAGATAACCTGTCCCAAACCTAAAATTGTTCTTCCAACAGGCGAACAGATATTGGCTGCCTTTGTTCCACTTCTGCTTAAAGTCTGCAACAACCCTGGCCTCTATAGTAACCCAGAGCTCTGTGTAGCTGCGTCACTTACCCTTGGCAAGTTCTGTATGATCAGGTAGGCTCTGGAGTTGGTACCACCTTCTCAAGGAGGATGGAGATGGTATGATATCCCTGATTATCCTCTCCTTGCCCCTAGTGCCACTTTCTGTGACTCCCAGCTTCGTCTTCTGTTCACCATGCTAGAAAAGTCCTCACTCCCCATTCTCCGGTCTAACATCATGATTGCTACTGGGGATCTGGCCATCCGCTTTCCCAACCTGGTGGACCCCTGGACACCTCATCTGTATGCTCGGTAAGAGATCCTTCACAATGCTTTAGCTGTCCCTGCCAACTCTGGAAGGGTCTAGTTAAGCCAGTATGAGACTCACTAAAGCTGTATTTCCCTAGTCTTTAGGATTACCCTTGAACATCTGCTTAATACTTGACCTGTCCAGGCCCTGGCTAGGTATGACCCAAAGGGACCGACACACTAACTATCTAAAGCCTTGGCTAAAGCTTGGCTTTTTCCCTCAATCCCACCTTTCAACTCGAAATAGCTTTCTAACTACTTCCATCCAGAATGGCACATTAAGAAAGGGGTACTAGTTCCTGCTGAGGGCCTTTTCTACTTTTGTCAGGGTGTAGCCTGTGGTCTTGGTCCCAGTGACTTGAGATTTTATTCCTAGCCTCCGGGACCCAGCCCAGCAAGTGCGGAAAACAGCGGGGCTGGTGATGACCCACCTGATCCTAAAGGACATGGTGAAGGTGAAAGGACAGGTTAGCGAAATGGCTGTGCTGCTCATTGACCCTGTGCCTCAGATCACTGCCCTGGCCAAGAACTTCTTCAATGAGCTTTCCCACAAGGTGAGAGGCAGAGAGGCAGCTTACAGTCTGCTGTGAGGAACATGTAGATCGCCTTGTGTCTTTAACATGATTCTCTCTTACAGGGCAATGCAATCTATAACCTCCTTCCAGATATCATCAGCCGTCTGTCAGACCCCGAGGGAGGGGTGGAGGAAGAGCCTTTTCACACCATCATGAAGTAGGTTCCCTAGGCCTTGGGGCATATTTTTCACCTAGCAGTTTAGCAATCCAACAAACCTGTACAGTCATGTGCCACTGAACAGGGATATCGGCTGAGAAAATGCATTGTTAGGCAATTTTGTCATCGTGCAAACATCACAGAGACCTGGATGGTACAGCCCATTACCCACCTAGGCTGTATGGGACAGCCCCTTGCTCTTAGGCTGTGAGCCTGGAGAGCATGTTACTGTGCAAAACCACGAGGTCAAATCAAACACAAGAGAAAACGATACAATCCAGACACATGGTAAACATGAGAGGTATGAGGCTGCTGCCAGTAACAGCATACTGTTTTACAGCAAACTTATTTTAATAGAGTGCACTTTAAAATAATGATAAAAAGTATAACACACTAGATAGGTAAACCAGTAAGTTTATTGTCATTATCAAGTATTAAGCACCGTACCTAATTGTATGTACCTAATTATATGTGCCGTACTGTATACGACTGGCAGAGCGGTGGGTGTGTTTACACCAGCATCACCACAGGCATGTGAGTAGTTTGTTGCACTTCGATGTTACAACAGCTATGACATCACTAGGTGGTAGGAATTTTCAGCTCCCTTATCATCTTATGGGACCACCACCATACATGCACTCCACCGAGATGTCACGACTGTATTGGAATTCTAGCTCTGCTACTTTTTAGCTGTATGGCCTCCAGCAATAACTTAACCTCTTTGCCTTGTTCTTCTATATAAAGTGAGGCCAATAATGTGTCGTGCCCCTTAGTTCTTGAGAAGAGTCAGTAAGATCGAGTTCTGACATGGTATTCACTAGGCACATAGTATTCACTAGATGGCAGCTGTTTTTGTTACAAATTGCCATTCACAGTGAAAATTCCTCAGGAGAGTGGGATGGACCTTTCTCTGGGGTATGAGAAAAGGCAGAAGGAATAAGTGAGGTAGGCAGGGGGCCATGGCAGAGAAGATTCTTAAGGCTAGTGCTGGGGGAGGTCAGGAGCTGGTGGAGGTGATTGGGTTCTGAGCTGCCCCAGGCGATGGCACATCAGCATCCCACCTCCCTGCAGGCAGCTGCTCTCCTACATCACTAAGGACAAGCAGACGGAGAGCCTGGTGGAGAAGCTGTGTCAGAGGTTCCGCACAGCCCGGTATGCTGCTTTCCTTGAGGCTTTGTACTGAGAGGGGTCCTGCAGGGGAAAGAGCATCCTGGGGCTGAGGGTTGCCCTTTACTTCCTCTGTCTCTCGATGCTCCTCACAAAGCCTTTGCCATCTGCAGAACCGAGCGGCAGTACCGGGACCTGGCCTACTGTTTGTCACAGCTGCCCCTCACAGAGCGAGGCCTCCGCAAGATGCTGGACAATTTTGAATGCTTTGGAGATAAACTATCAGATGAGTCCATCTTCAGTGCCTTTTTATCAGTTGTGGGCAAGCTGCGGCGAGGAGCCAAGCCTGAAGGGAAGGTGAGCAGCCCAGTTGGGTTCCAGCATTAGTTCGTGCAGTGCGGTGTTGAAGCTCTTGGTCCACATTACTGCCTTCCTTCTCCCAGCATGACTGCAACCAAGGAACCAGGGTGACCTGAGACCAGATCTTTCTGCCTCCAGTTTATTCTTTTCTCTTTTTTTTAGAGTAGTTTTAGGATCAAAGCAAAATTGAGTGGAAAGTATAGAGTTCCCCTGTGTCCTCTGCCCCTACACATGCACACAGCCTCCCCCATTGTCCAAGTCCTCACCAGAGTGACCCATTTGTTACAATTGAACCTCCATGGACACATCATTGTCACCCAAAGTCCATAGTTGATTCTTGTTGCTTATACATTCTGTGGTTGTGAACAAATGTATAATGACCTGTGCCTGCCGTTATATAGTGTCGTACAGAATAGTTTCACTGTCCTAAACCCTCTGCGCTGCCCATTCACCCCTTTCTCCCCCCAACCCCTGGCAGCAATCACTGTTAGCACAGTTTTGCCTTTTCCAGAATGTCATATAGTTGGAATCATCAAGTATATACCCTTCTCGGATTGGCTTTTACTTACTATTATGCATTTAAGCTTTTACCATGTCTTTTCATGGCCTTAATTCTTTTTAATCATAAGAAATAACTATTTCCAAGCCTGGTCTTAATTTCTTTTTCCCTCCAGGCTATAATAGATGAATTTGAGCAGAAGCTTCGGGCCTGCCACACAAGAGGATTAGATGCAATAGAAGAACTTGAGATTGGCCAGGGGGATAGCCAGAAAACCCCGGCAGCCAAGAAACAGCCCTCCGGTATGTGAGGCAGCCCCATGCGTGGAGAGACGAGACCAGCCCTCCACTCAGATAGAGGTTTTCTTTTTCTTTTTTCCTTTTAGACTCATGCTTCTGCCTTTTATAGTCTCTAGGCACCAGCATCTGGCTTCTATAGCCTCAGACAATGACTTTGTCACACCTGAGCCCCGCCGCACTGCCCGTCGGAATCCAAACACCCAGCATCGACTTAGGAAAGAGAAACCCAAAATTGTCTTCTCGAGTGATGAGTCCAGCGAGGAAGGTATGGCGGGCCCAGGAGGAGCACAGCTTGGGGAGGGGTGGGCTGGTTTTGATGGGGTCCTACCGTGTAGATTCTCCCCACCTACTACTCCCCCCCCCCCAGGTTATCTAACTCCCTATACAGTTTGGGCTTTATTTCTGCAGTGTGGCTGGGCCTGTCCCATTTGTTCTCTCAGATCTATCATTCACCATCTTTGTGACTCAGCTTTTTCTCGTTTCTCTAATTCTTTGAATAGAGCTTTCAGCAGAGATGACAGAGGATGAGACTCCGAAGAAAACCACCCCCATCCGCCGAGCATCTACTCGCAGGCACAGGTCCTGAGAGGTTGGCTTGCCTGTTCCTGTCCCTGCTGTGTAGGGTATCTTGTGGAGTGACCTTGAATTCCGTTCCCCTTGTAAAATACTTTGCCTGTCTCCTCGGATTTTTAATATGTAAATCATCTTTACAAAATGTAAGACATTTCTCTTAAACCAGCCTAACTGAACAGAGTTGCGCTGTTTTCACTAGAATACATGTTTGTCAGTCTCCTTGTTTTGTAATGAATAAATGTTTTTATATACTTTTAGAGATTTTTCTTAGGCTTGTCTCATTTTTCACATTAGCCCAGATGCAGGCAGCAGATAGTTATTTGATCCAGAAAGAGTGAGCCCAGGAGCATTGGAGTTCATCTCAAGATCCGATAATTTCATGCTCCTCAGTGCCTCATACTTCCTCCCACCCGCAGGAGACAAGACTGCACCACTGTGTATAGTGTCTGGTCTCCAGGTCTGTGCTGCTTAACCTGAGGGCATTTTTGCCCTCTAGCGGGCATCTGGCAGTGTGTGGAGACCTTTTTTGCTGTCACAACCTAGAGGGGAGGGGTGCTACCAGCATCTAGTGGCCAGAGGCCAGGGATGTTGCTAAATACCCTACAATGTACAGGACAGACCTCACAACAAAGAATTATTCACTCCCAAGTGTCGATCAATAGTGCTGAGCTTGAAAAGCCCTGCTGTAGACCAAAGGCTGGCTTCCTCTGTGTACTAGCTCCACCCCCACTTGTACTTTCTAATCCTATCTCTAAAGAAAGGTGACTAGCCTGGTGATGGAAGGTCAGGTCATGATCCCCTCCAGCTCTAGACAAACTCTGGAAACAGTGTCTGTCTACCAGGGACTCCTCCCATGTTACAGGGGCTGCAGGAAGTCAGCCTCTCAGGTGCAGGTGCTGCTAGTGTGCAGCCACCTGAAGCCTGTCACCCCTTCCACACACCCCCAAGTCTTTTCTGCTGAGTCACCAGGGAATGGAAGCAGCGAGCCTATCATGACGACGCTGGTGTCTTTGCTGTCATGACAACAGTGGACTACCTCAGTGGGCACTGAGGCACTGAGCTCTCTGGTTTTCTTGACAGAGAATAGTGATGAAAAATGACAAGCATGAGGCAGAGGGTGCTGCAGGAGCGTGGTGGGTCCTAAAGCCCTTGTCAGGGGAGGGGTTAATGATCCTGGCAGAGCCTGAGCAGGAGTGGAACAGGAGCAGCTGCATCTCCTCCACCTCTCCAGCCAACTGTGTAGCCTGGGGCTTCCCACCTCCTCTTAACATTAGGTGCACTCTGGCCCTGCCCTTGCTGTTTGTGGAAACCCTGGGCACCAACCAGGCAGATGCTGCCTGGCACAGACAGAGCCTTGGCTTGGGATGCGAAGGAGGGAGGGCAATCCCAGGAAGGGAAGGGACGGGCTGGAATCTGGGGTGCTGGACAGCATGCTCTCTGCCTTTTAAGCAAAGGTTACCACCAGCTAAACTTAGCTACAAGCTTTTAGCTAGAAAAGGGGGCTGGTGTCAGGTTATGCTGGGCCAGCAAAGGGGCCCCAGATCCCTGTCCCCCCATACCCGCTGTTGGGTAATGTCCATTTCATCCCACCCCCTTCTAAACTCTCCCTTTCAAGTGCTCAGAACCAGCCCTCCATCTTCAGCTCCCAAACCCGGCACAGCCTATTGGCCCACAGGGCTCCCTTTCCCTACCTTACATGTGGGAAGGGGCTGGGGGCCTATCCCACCAGGTGCCCACGGCCTTCCAATCTTTTCCTTTTCTGGACTCCTCACCCTGCCCCCAATATCTCCTGGGCACAGTCAGAGAAGGGGAGCCCTGGCTCCCGGGCTGGCCGGCACGTCCCAGGACGGGGAGGGACTTCCGCCCTCACGTCCCGCTCTGCCCTGGGCTGGAGGGGGTGAAAGGGGCATTGTCTCCCAGCCTGGGCGGCACAGTTCTCAAGTTTCCCAGAAGCAACTTTGTGGGAGGCCCCCAACAATGGTCCCATCCTACCTCTGGGGCCCGGGCCAGGCTTGGGGGAGAGCCGCTGGTAAATACAGGGTCCGGTTTGTCTACCTCAATTATCAGGTCTCCCGGCTGCCCGAGCTGCGGGACAGCGTGACCTTCAGCGAAGATACCTCCCCTTCAACCTCCTTCCGTTCCAGGCCCCGCTGCCCAGTGTCCAGCTCAGGCCCCCGGCCCAGAGAGGCCCGGGGCCAGGGGATGAGTAGGGGGGAGGGGGGCTAAGAAGGGCCCCGCAGGAGGCGTATTGGCCCTTCCCGGGCCTTTTCCTCGGCTGTTCCTGTGTCACTACCGAAGAACTTCGAGAAGTTCCTCAGCCTTCCCGCCTCACCGCCTTTGCAAGAAAGGGGACGGGGTGGCAGCGTGCAGTCACCAGCCGCCCCGGGCTCCAGCTCCAAGGCTCCAGTCCCTATCCCTCCTACTCCAATCCACCCGTTTCGTCCGTGCTGAACATTAACGCCCCTAGCTCCTGGACGTCCTCAGTTCTCAGGAGGGCCCCCATCCTCGAGTCCACCGTCTCTGGCATGCTCACAGGCACGTCCACCGCAGCACCACCAATCACCTCCTCCCTAGGGCCACTCTCAGCCCCCTCCCCCTCCGTCCCTAGCGCACATCCGCGGGGCGTGCACATTCGAAGAACCAGGCCGGTCCAAAAGAAAAAGAGGGGCCCGGCTATTTGAGGATTTACGGGCGCACGTAGCTCAGGCCTCCGCGCCCTTGGGCTGGGACTGGGCGAGCGGACAGGAGGCGGCCTGCGTCGCCCCCGCCCCCGCCCCGCCTGGTTTCTATAAATTGCCCCTGCACCACCCCCCGGCGCTCTCTGCTCCTCCAATTCGTCAGACAGCCGCGTCTTCCTGCGCAGTGCCAGGTAAAAAAAAAAAGAGTAATGGCAGGCTGGCGCCTAGAGGAGCTCGGGGACATTCCAGAGGGGCCGGGGCCGGGGCGAGGTCGGCGAGGTGGGCGCGGCAGTGCAATGGCAGGGGGACGTGCGGAGGCGCCGGGAAAGGATGGTGGCCGGAGGAGGGGGGAGGGGAAGAGAGGAGAGAACCGCTCTCGAGCCCCGCGCCCTGATGCTCACCTTCCCTTCCAGCAGCCTCAGCCCTGAGACACGATGGTGAAGGTCGGAGTGAACGGGTGAGTTGGGGCTCGGCAGGTCTTGCCCTGCCCGGGCCTCTGCAAGCGCTGGGGAACGTGGGGGGGATGGTCGCGCCCCCCCCCCCCAAGGAGAACTCAAGGTCGGAGCTCCGACCTCAGAGGGCGGGCCTCTTGTCCCCCACTCCCAGCTAGCTGTTGCACCTCTTGTAACTCCGGGGACTAGTCGCCCAGAGCCATCCCCTCCAGGTACGCAGGAGAGTCCTCAATTCTGGCTTTGGACCATTTCCCTTAACCTCCCCGCTGGGCCTTCTTTCTTTCCTTTCGCGCCCTGCGGCGTCACGTGCCGGGGAGGAACACCGCCCCCAGCCTCTTTTGCCCCCACCTGGCCGCGCAGCCGGGGGGCGCAGGAGGCACAGCGGCGCGCGCGCAGCCCCGGAGCTCCTTTGCGGTAACCCAGCCGCCATGTTGCAACTGGGAAGGAAATGAATGAACCACCGTTAGGAAACCTTCCCCTTGCTTGGCTATGACTAACCCTCCTCCTGCCTCTGGGGTGGAGTCGCCTTGATCCGGTCAACCTGGTGAGGCAAGGCTTTCCCGGTGCAGCTCTGCAAAGAGCTGGACCTCGAACTCGGACCGTCTTCACCCTAAGCCATCCTTAGCGTGCCAGCCAGATTCCCCCTCGGAGAGGATGCTTTTCCTAGCTGATTCTCAGATGAATCAAAAATGTGGTTTTATGGGGTCCTTTTATGACTTTTTTTCTTTTTACGGGAGGTATGGTCGCTGTGGCTCAGCACCACGCTAGAGGAGCTGAGTCATGGTAGTTAGAAATTTTCCACCATAAAATGGCTCCTCTAGCAGCAGCCCCTCTCCACTCCAGATCCCCTCGAAACTCTTTGCATCCATGCCTAGAGCTCACCCAGCCCTAAAGACCAGGCTGTAAAGGTCACTGGGAGGATTGGGTGTCCGGAGCCTTGGGAGCTTTGGGAACCTTGCCCTTCTCCCTGTTCCATCTTTCAGAAACCAGATCCTGACTCTACCCAAATCTGGGGTTAAATATAGCACTTGACCTTTCTGCAGCTGGGGACCTGGCTTCTGCTCTCACCTCCTTCCCCATACATACACATCTGTTGCTCCTGTACCTGGTTTCTGCAAAAGAGCTAGGAAGGACAGGTAGCTTAGCAATTACAGCCTAATTGTTAGGTGTTTAAAAACAGCTCATTTCCTCCATTGCCTTTCCTTTTGTAGGAGGGATTTGGAGAAGAGGTGGGCTCTCCTGTCCGGTTAACTTCTAACCTTTACTCCTGCCCTTTGAGCTTGGTGGTGCTGAGTGTACAGGTCTCTTTGCTCCCTAGTGGATGTGGCCTGAAGCCAGGCGAGATAGGAGGAACAAGCATTCCCAGGGCGGGGGGATGCATGGCGTCTGCCCAGACTGTCACTTGTAAGATTTCAGAGGACTGGGGGCTTGGGCAAGTCCCCTAACCACCTCTTGGACAGGATAGGGATCTTCACTTTGTGGCCATGCTGTTAAATCAGGGTGGCCTGGCAGGATTGCTAGAGGAAAATAAATTAGACCTTTTGGAAATTTCTGGTGATAGGAAAGTGCTTGCTATCTTCCCTCTGAAAGGGGAGTGGGCCATGGGCTACTCACACACCCAGGAGAATTCTCAGTTTCCTCCTCATGCCTTCTTGCCTCTTCTGTCCCTCAGATTTGGCCGTATTGGGCGCCTGGTCACCAGGGCTGCTTTTAACTCTGGCAAAGTAGATATTGTCGCCATCAATGATCCCTTTATTGACCTCAACTACATGGTGAGTGTTGCCTGTATAGCTGGTGTGAGAAGTAGAGGCTGGCTGATGTGCAGTCCCTTGATGCCCTCCCTTGTCCCTTCAGGTCTACATGTTCCAGTATGATTCTACTCATGGCAAGTTCAAAGGCACAGTCAAGGCTGAGAACGGGAAGCTTGTCATCAATGGAAAATCCATCTCCATCTTTCAGGAGTAAGTGTGGAAGAACAGGAAGAAATTTGCTTTGGGGGATGTACTAGGATGGGGTGACCACTGTGGATACATGGTACTCATTTCCCTGAACTTTGTCCTGTTTTCCCTTGTAGGCGAGATCCCGCCAACATCAAATGGGGTGATGCTGGTGCTGAGTATGTTGTGGAGTCCACCGGTGTCTTCACTACCATGGAGAAGGCTGGGGTGAGTGGCAGGGAGGCTACGGATGAGGGGAGTTGACCCTGGGACTTAGTATACCAAGAAGACTGGGAGACGCTGCCTGAGACCAGAAAAGGTAGAGGCTGGGATCTGGAATGTCCCCTTTGCTGCAGGCTCACTTGAAGGGTGGAGCCAAGAGGGTCATCATCTCTGCCCCTTCTGCTGATGCCCCCATGTTTGTGATGGGCGTGAACCATGACAAGTATGACAACTCCCTCAAGATTGTCAGGTGAGCATGGCAGAGGGAGAAGTGGTTGGACAGTGCTACTGTTAGAAGAGGGACATGTTTGCCCTGACCTGCCTCCCTCTTTTCAGCAATGCCTCCTGCACCACCAACTGCTTGGCCCCCCTGGCCAAGGTCATCCATGACAACTTTGGCATCGTGGAAGGACTCATGGTAAGAGTGATGGAGAAAGTGACCACAGCACATTCATTTCTCACCCAGGATTGGTCCCTCCTCCCTCCTTGTAACATAGCCCTGGGCTGGGGGGGGTGGCTATGGAGAATTTGGGTTCCTGAGGATTGGCTACGGTCACTGTATCCCTTTATTTCTTCTCAAGGTGAGGGGGGAGGTTGAAGGGTGGGTGATGAGCACTGTGTAGGGCCTTCACTCTGTTCTGCGTGTTTTCAGACCACGGTCCACGCCATCACTGCCACCCAGAAGACCGTGGATGGCCCCTCTGGGAAGCTGTGGCGTGATGGCCGAGGAGCTGCCCAGAACATCATCCCTGCTTCTACCGGCGCTGCCAAGGCTGTGGGCAAGGTCATCCCTGAGCTGAACGGGTGAGGCTTTTTTTGCTGTTTTTCTGAACATGGGGATGGGGGGAACCAGGAGCTGGTACTGACCCCACTCACGTCTACAGGAAGCTAACTGGCATGGCCTTCCGTGTCCCCACCCCCAATGTGTCTGTTGTGGATCTGACCTGCCGCCTGGAGAAAGCTGTAAGTATAGGTTGGAGCAGTTGTGGTGGGCTGGGGGCCTGTCTCAGATACAATGGTGACATGTTGGAACTTGAATAACCATATTGTTTTTCACCTTGTTAGGCCAAATACGATGATATCAAGAAGGTAGTGAAGCAGGCATCAGAGGGCCCCCTCAAGGGCATCCTGGGCTACACTGAGGACCAGGTACTGATAGGACAGGGAACTTGGTATCCACACAGCCCTGCAGGGCTAGACTGGGTTCCCACACTTGGCCCTCTCCTTTCCTCAGGTTGTCTCCTGTGACTTCAACAGTGACACCCACTCCTCCACCTTCGATGCTGGGGCTGGCATTGCCCTCAACGACCACTTTGTCAAGCTTGTTTCCTGGTATGTGGCTGGGGTTGGGGGAACATTTAAAATCCGATTATGGGGCTAGTGCCCTCTGGTGGATGGCTCGGAAAAATAATCCTTAACTACTCATCCCCTTTCAGGTATGACAATGAATTCGGCTACAGCAACAGGGTGGTGGACCTCATGGTCCACATGGCCTCTAAGGAGTAAGAGCCCCCTGGACCACCAACCCCAGCGAGGAGAAGAGAGGCCCTCGGCTGCTGGGGAGTCCTTGTCCCAAACTGATCCCTCAACACACTGAGATCTCCTGACCTCGAGTTTCCATCCCACACCCCCTGAAGGGGAGGGGCTTAGGGAGCCCTACTTTGTCATGTACCATCAATAAAGTTCACTGTACCCAACCAACTCTGCTTTATCCGATTTTGGGGTCTAGGATGGAGGAGGAAGAAGTTGGGATGGTACTAGGGTGAAACAGCTCTTGTTGGGAGTAGCAAAGGACGCGCTTCCCCCAACCAGGCATCCATAGCCTCTGGTACATTAGAGCTGACGTCACCCAGAAACATCCCTTACAGCCCTGGTTGGTGTGGCTCGATTGAGCATTGTCCCATGCACCAAAAGGTCACCAGTTCAATTCCTGGTCCAGGCACATGCCCAGGTTGTGGGTTCAATCCCCGGTAGGGGGCATGCAGGAGGCAGCCAGGATATTTCTCTCCCTTTCCCTGCTCTAAAATCAATAAAAACATTTTTTAAAAAAACACATCCCGCCCAGCCAGTGTGACAATGGATTGAGCGTCCTCCCATGGACTGACAGGTCCCAGTTCGATTCTCAGGGCACACGAGGTTTCGGGCCCAATCCCAAGTAGGGGGTGGCATGCAGGAGGCAGCCAATTGATGTTTCTCTCTCTCCCTCTAAAAAGTCAGTGAAAACTTGTTTTTGAAAGCATCCCTTACAAGGTGTGTGCCCGCACTGCATGTGCAGGGCATCTGTTCTCTGGCTGTTTCCCCTCCAGGGCCTCCAGGGGCTGTGTCCGGTGTGGCCACTCAGAGGGCCAGGCCCTTTCTCAGCATACTCTAGCCAGTGGTTCTCAACCTTCCTAACGCCGTGACCTTTAATACAGTTCCTCATGTGTGACCCCCAACCACAAAATTATTTTTGTTGCTACTTCATAACTGTAATTTTGCTACTGTTAAGTATTAGGCGACCCCTGTGAAAGGGTCGTTCGACCCCCGAAGGGATCATGACCCACAGGTTGAAAACCACTGCTCTAGACCAAGCCCAACTAGGTCGGCTGTATAAGCACTTGAACCTCAGCCAATACGCAGTACACACCAATCACTCTAGAAAATGAGGGGAGGTGTGGGTGAGGCACACGGGTCAGTGGCACAGGCCAAATACCTGGGTTGAGTCGCTGGTCCTGCACAAGGCTTCTTAGGACAAGTTACTCTAAGTTCCCGTGCCGCACTTTGCACCTGATGTTTATAAAGCGGGGATGAAACCAGTGCAACCTCACAGGACTAGAACCAGACAGTGCTTCAAGCAGTGACACAAAGCATTCAATAAATAACTCTCCGGTTTCATTCTCAATCAAGATTCCATTCAAATGTCCGTTCCGCACAGCCTCCCCCAGGCAGTTCTGAGGTCTCAAGCGCGTCTCCCCAGTTTCTCCAAGCCTTTCCAAGCTCGGACATCTTCGCCTGTTGGTCTCGGTGTATGACAGACACGGAGGAGGCACGTCTTCAGCTGAGACTTGCAGAAACGGAACCTAAGCACATGCACGCACCCATGTGCACACACATAAGTAGCTTCACCTTTTTCTGTCAGTGGTGACTGGGAGATAAAGCTTCCAATCTCCTTCCACGACACTGTACCCAGTGACCCAGAAGACACCTAGACAAGGGGCACTGAGACCCCTTCAATGTATGGCATTTCCATGAGGGAGGGGTCACAGCCACATCCTACTGTCCACAGGCAGGGGCCTGGGACACTTGGACAACAGAGGGAGGACAGCACCCTGCCCAGTCCTGTTTCCTCCACCTGCAACATGGAAGGGACCCTCCCCCTCGGCTTGCGCTGCACAAGCCACCGGATGTCCAGCCTGACCCACATCATACCAGTGCCTGGGCCAGTTAGCACCAGTACAGAATCACAGACATGAGCTGGCTGTAGGCCACAGGGTGGGAGGAGGGTCTGACAATCACATTCCTTATCAATGGAGAAGTTTCGGGGCCACAGTCGCACTGGCAGCATTTTCAAGATAGGGAGTAGCAGACACTCACGCATGAAGTCCGGAGAGTCCCAGCTGTGGTAGGAGTCGCCTGGGAAGGGCAGGCCAAGCCTTGCCCCAGACACCCTAGAACCCTGGAGAGGCCAAGGACCAAGGAAGGAAGGAAGCCCGAGGGGGGAGCAGCCCTGTCTCCAGGGGCCAGGCTTCATACAGCGGGACAAATAAAGTTCCCCTCCTGTGAACCCCCCACTCTGCAGAGGTGCAAGGTGCGTCCCCACCAGGGTGGGACCGAGGCAGGTCCCTATCTCATGGAGCTATCAGATGAGATATCGCGATCGGAGTCCTCAGGCTCACTTGGCGGCGGCGGCGGCGGGTCGCTAAGCGGGACCGCAGTGAATGCAGGAGACTTTCTAGAAAAAAAACACCAGTTGTCACCTTGGGGCCGGCAGGGTCCTGATGAGGCTGGCGGCAAGCAGGCAAATGACATCTTTGGCAAGTGCAGGAGAAACCCGGAGTGAGGGTGGGTGCTGGCCAAGGGAGTGAGGAGGGGAGAAGCGAGGAAACCGCCCCATCCCAAACCGCTGAGGTGGAAGGTCCCGTCTTCATCTTGAGGACTTGAGTTCAGAAATCTCTGAAGTAAAGAGATGCCACCTGAGCCCGAGAGCACTGACTGGAGGGCCCAGCTTTGTGTCTGTAGTACCTCTGTGATTTTTTCTTAATTTACTTTTTTCTTGCAGTTACTTACATGGTCAAATGCACAAACCATAGCCCTTACTTCAGATAAAAACCTGTCGCCCTGGCCGATTTGGCTCAGTGGTTAGAGCGTTGGCCTGCGGACCAGAGAGTGCCGGGTTCGGGTCCCGGTAAGGTCACGTGCCTCGACTGTCCCTAGCTCCGGCTGGCGTCGTGTGGGTGGTGACCAGTTGATGTGTCTCTCTCACATTGCTATTTCTCTCTTCTTCCTTCTCTCCCTCCCACTCTATCTAAAGATAAATGAAAAAAAAAAAAAACTGTCCCCACACCCCTTCTGATCGTGGTAGTTTTTAGCCGCCTCTCACCTGGGGAACCATCAGAGTTGGCGGCATTGGGAGGTTTCTGCTGCCCAGCCACGGATGGACATCCAACTGGGCCACACATACTAGGTGACCTCCAATAAGCCCCACATCTAGATGTGACAGTCAGTCCTGGCCAGTTTGGCTCAGCAGCAGAGCATCAGCCTGTGGACCAATGACTTCCCGAGTTCGATTCCAGCCAAGGGCACATACCTCAGTTGTGGTTTGTCCCCAGCCCTGGTTGGGGTCATGCAGAAGGCAACCAGCTAATGTGTCCCTCTCACATTGATGTTTCTCTCTCCCTCTCTCTCTCTCTCTCTCTCTCTCTCTCTCCCCTCCCACTCTATCTGAAAATATTTGAGAAAATATCCTCGGGTGAGGATTAAAAAATAATAATAATAGATGTGATAGTCACTGTCGAGGGCTTTGAGGGCCTGCCTCCAAGGGGCTCTGGTCTAGCGCTCCCTCCCTGCGTGTGGCCTGGGAGGAGGAGCAGAGGAAGGTGGCAGTGCCCTTCCCTCCAGGGGAGGCCCTTACCGGTCCCCAGACTGGGTGATGAGCCGGCGGCAGGTCTCCATCTGCACGTCCAGGCCCCGCTTCATGCTGCACATCTCCATGTACTCATGCAGGTGCCGGTTCATGTCGTTCTTGGCCGTGGCCAGCTCCAGCTGTGGCAGGGGCGGGGCGGGGCTGTCAGGGCAGCAGTGACCCTGCTCCCAACCCCCAGGAGGTGAGCACACCGCTGGGCGGGGGGCCCAGGCAGCATAGCTGAGGGCTCAAATTTAAAAAATAAATCAGATGCCCGGCTGGTGTGGCTCACTGGTTGAGTGTCAACCCACACACCAAGAGGTCACCGGTTCGATTCCCAGTCAGGGCACATGCCCAGGTTGTGGGCCTGATGCCCAGTGGGGAGCATGAAGGAGGCGGCCAATCGATGTTCTCTCTCATCAATGTTTCTATCTCTCTCTCCCTCTCCCTTCCTCTCTCTCTAAAATAAATAAAGAAAAAATATTTTAAAAAATAAAAATAAATCAGATCAAGGCGTAAGGCACACAATATACTATCCCTCCCAGTGTTCCGGGCAATCTTTGCCTGCAGAAGAATGCAAGGCTGTCTGCCCCAGGCCTGCATTCCTCCAACAGACGGGTGGGAGCAAAGAGGAAAGGAACGTTCGTGCACAGCAGGAGGGAGAAGCCAGAAGTCCCTGAGAACAGGGAACACTGTGGACAGCCTCGCTCCCTGCCTGGGGTTCCTGCACAGCCTGGCTCATCCCCTCACCCCCTGGAAAATGTTTCCTCCAGTCTGTGCCCCTCGCTAAAGCAGGAACTCCTGGAAGGGCTGGCTACGGCTTTATTCATGTCCCTGCGTGCATGCCAGATACCTGGGGGGGGAATAAACTGTCGACTTTGTGAAGTATCTACAAGACCCATGGCCTAAAGGAGGACAACTGTCTGCACTGTTGAAAGGGCTCAATTCTCTTACCACCCATTTCCTCATTACTTCATTTTCTATTTTTTATATTTACTTATTTATTTTCATCCTCACCTGAGAATGGTTTTTTGTTTTGTTTGGTCCTTTTTTTTATCCTAACCCGAGGACATTTTTGCATTTATCTTTGGATAGAGCAGAGGGAGAGAGGAAGAGAGAGAGAGAAACATCGATGAGAGAGACACATCGAGTAGTTGCCACCCACACAACCCCAACCGGGGCCGGGTACAAACTGCAACTGAGGTACATGCCCGTAGAAGGAACTGAACCCCAGGGGTCTCGGTCTGCGGGCCGATGCTCTAACCGCTGAGCCAAACTGGTCAGGGCTGTTTGGTTTTGTTCTTTATTTTATTGATTTTAGAGACAGGAAAGGGGAGAGAAACATTGAGGTGAGAAAGAAACATCAAGCAGTTGCCTTTGGTATGTGCCCCAACCAGGGATTGAACCTGCAACCTTTTGGTGCACAAAATGACCCTCCAACCAGCTGAGCTACCCACCCAGGGAACTATTTTTTCTTTTCTATTGATTTTAGAGAGAGGAAGGAGAGTGAGAAAGAGAGAGAAACATCGATTTGTTATTCCACTTAATTATGCATTCACTGGTTGCTTCTTATATGTGCCCTAACCAAAGATTGAACCCACGACCTTGGCGTATCGGAACATTGCTCTAACCAACTGAGCTACCTGGCCAGGGCCATTTTGACTTTGTTACTTGTAAGCCAGTTCAGAGACTAACAGAAAGACCTGCTGTCATACTGAATGTCCCACTGGTTATAAGGTGTATCCCAATTTAAGAAATGTCACATGTGAAAAAATGTGGGCCTTGGAGTCAAGGAAAAATGGTCTCCCTCCCAGAGCCTGATTCTGCGCCACAGGCTTTGAGGCATAGCCGAGAGGTGGTGCAGGGGGTAAAGATCCTGGCCAGCGCCCTGGCCGGTTTGGCTCAGTGGTTAGAGCGTCGGCCCGCGGACCAGAGAGTCGTGGGTTCGATTCCAGCCAAGGGCATGTAGCTCAGTTGTGGTTCGGTCCCCGGCTCTGGTTGGGGTCGTGTGGGAGGCAGCCAGTCGATGTGTCTCTCTTATGTTGATGTCTGTCTGTCTCTCGCTCTCTCTCAGTCTATCTAAAGATAAATGGAATACAATTATCCTCAGGTGAAGATTGAAAAAAAAAAAAGACCCTGGCCAGAGACAATCTGCTGCCTCTCTTTGTTTTGGGTACAACGGACAGCAGCGAAGGCAGAATGAAACCGCTTGGAGGCGACTTGCTCGACCACCTAAGAGCAAAGAGAAAGGGTAGGAAACTGGCCGTGAATAATCTGACCTGCACAGAGGAAACCACCGTACCCGATGTGAACTGGACAGAGGACGGGGACGCGGAGAGAGAAGTGGGTCTAAGGCCAGGAGAAAGAGACGGTCAGGACTGTGACTGGGATGCAAGGGTGGCGGGTGGGTGTGGCTGCAGCAGCAGCCTTGGCTCCAGAGCTGGGGTTCCAGCTGGGGTCCCACAGCCGCGAGCCAGAGAAGCAGGATGGGCAATGATGCCACCAGCTCTTGTTCAGATCAGCTGCCACCTATGCCCCCAATTCCCCCCTTCAGGAGAGTCGGAGTGGGGGCTGGGCCCTGAAGCCCATCACTCAGCAGGACAAGGAAGAATATATTCTATCACAAAATGCAGGGGTGGGCAAAAGTAGGTTTACAGTTGTTTGTATAGAAAACAATACAATTAATAAATAAGAATAAAATAATTCTGTTTCTCATATTAATAACTGTAAACCTACTTTTGCCCACCCTGAATATTCTGTCACCAATATATATTCTAGGACAATACAAGGCTAGGACTGTCTCTACACGTTTGTATGTCCCCCGTAATGCACACGACTCCAGCGGAGATGAGCACACATTAAGAGCGATCAATCCACAACAACCTACACGGAGACTCCAGGCTCCAGGGTCAGCAGGGGGTGAGCTAAGGCTGGGAACATACGGAGAGAGGAAAGGAGCTACGGAGCAAGAACTCTTTCCCAGCCTCCACCCTGGGCCTTCCTTGGTTTGACCATCCAATAACGGGACACAGTCCTTGTCTCCATCTCAGGAGCCTGAGACATCAAAGGTCACAAAGGTCAAGGGACCTTGGGTGGCCCAGATGGATTTCCAGGAGCAACACGGCAAACAAAGCCGCCAGGCCAGCTCTCCTAACAGTCCCTTCATGCCATTCTGCCGGGAGAGAAGAGGAATCAAAGGACGTAAAAACATCGTCAAAAGCATGTTTCTATTTAGGATTTTCTTTTCACATCGTGTAAACTAAGCCCCTCTGGCCCAGGGGAAGAAGCAGGCAGAGATGCAGCCCAGACCACTGCTCAGCTGAAGGTACAGAAACCAGCTCACCTTAAATCCACATTCACCAAGGGAGGGAAAAGTCAGGAGTGGCGGCAGAGGGCAGGCGATGTGAGACGGAGTAAATGGGAAAGTGAAGACAGTTCTCCTCCCCAACTCCTCAGCTGGGAGCACAGATCGGGCTGTGCCTGTGAAACTTAGCATTTGGCCCTGGCCAGGTGGCTCAGCTGGTTGTAGCATCATCCCATGCACCAAAAGGTTGTGGGTTCGATTCCCGGTCAGGGCACATCCCTAGGTTTCGCATTCGAACCCTGGTCAGGGAGCGTACGGGAGGCAACCGAAGGATGTTTCTCTCTCACATCGAAGTATGTTTCTCTCCCTCCCCCCCCCTCTCTCCCCCCCTCCTTTCCTCTCTCTCTAAAAGTCAATAAGCATAACCTCAGGTGAGGATGAAAAACAAACAAAACACTTAGCATTTGTCTGCCTGGGCAAAAAACAAAGCAGGTTCTGCTTAGAGAAGCAGGGCCATTTGACGTGAGGGAGTGGTAAGAGCGTAAATATGCCACACGGGCTTGAAGAGAGGTTGGGAATTACAGGAGTCTGCCTGCCGCACCCCCAGTCAGAGTGCTCAGAAAAGGTCCGCCTCACACCGGGCAGGAGGGCAACAGGAATCACCTCCAACCTTCCCCACCACAGTTCCCTCCACCCGGGGTGCTACCAATCCTTCCTGAAACCTCTGACGGCCTAGAGTTTGAGTTAAAGCACCAGCTCCACTTGCCATCTCTAGAAAGTTCCTCAAGGCTAGGAAATAAGAATAGAGAGTCCTCCATTAGGACAAAGGCTGAGCTGAAGAAGCAGCAAAGTCCAAGTCCACCTCTGAGTGGATTCTACTCCAGCACTGACAATGATGATGATGATGATGATATCAACTACCATAAGGGACGCTTACTGAGACAGCATTGCTCAGTAAGCACCAAGGGTGTATTATTTCATTTCATCTTCAAACAACTCTATGAGGGAGGTATTATTAAGATTCCCATTTTACAAATAAAGAAACAGGCTCAGGGAGAATAAAAAGCTTGTTGAGTAGTAACTAAGCGACAGAGCTGAGAACTGAACCCGCCTCTGTCTGCCTCCCTCCAGAGCCTGAGATCTTAAGAAGCCACCAGAGGTACAACAGCTGGGGGACTCCTCCTCCCCCTCAAAGGAAAGGGAAAGGCCTGGTGTCTGGGGTCCACAGGATGGGACCCCTCCACTGCAGCCTGCTCACCACCCACGGGGAACCTGTGCTCCCGGCTTCCACTCACATCCTTACCTCTATCTGGTCGATGGTTTCCTGATATTCTTTCTCCCGGGTTTTGAACAGGGACTCGGTATCTTTAATCACTTTCTCCAAACTGTCTTCCTGCTGCTGGAGTAGAAAGGAAAGCAAGGGGTGGGGGCGAAGGGGAGGGATGGGAAGGGGACAGTCCACAGGGCCAAGGAGGGGGAGAGAGAGATACACAGTCAGGTTAAAGGCACCAGACAAAGACAAAAAAAAAGGATAAAGAAGAAGGGGAGAAGCAAGGAAAGGATGATGGCCACAGAGGGAAAACAGTGAAGAGAGAAGGGAGGCAGGGAGGGTGGGGAGAGACTGGGCAGCAAGCTGGAGAGGCAGAACTGGGGGGCCCCGAGGCTGGGAGGGGTGGTTACCTCTCCCTGGGCCTCTGCAGCTGCCATGGCATAGCCTGAGAAATCCTCCCAAAGCAGCAGGGTCTCCTCAGTCTCCTCCCAAGTCAGGCTGTCACAGTCGTCCTCAAAATCATACTCCCTCCTAGAGACAGGGAGCCTGTGTGTCAAGGGGGGGGCAGTCTTCCTCCTGGTGGAGGGGACTGGTGGGGGAGCTCCGGCCTCTTGGGGGGGCTGCTGAGGGTGGGCCTGCGGGACTCACAGCTGGTTGAGCATACGCTGCATCTCCTCGTTGATGCTGAGGGCTGTGCTCTCCTCCTCATCCCCATCGGGCTGGCGGGGCCCGTCACTCTCCGACAGGGAGGTGTCCTCCTCGGTGGCAGCCTTGCGCTCCCGCTTCCGCCCCCCCATGGATGGGACCTTAATGGGAGACAAGTGCAGAGACTACAGAGCCGAGGCCGGGTGCATGAGGAGCAAGGGCGGGAGGGAGGAGAAGCAGGGACCAGCAGAGGGTGGGGCGGACAGAGAGAGAAGACACAGTTACAACCACAGGAGCAGAACACCAGTTACACCACGGGACAGGCAGACAGACACAGATGGGCACAGGGCTGCAGACCGAGAGGACATAGAAAGAAGAAACAGAGACAGAGCAGTGAGGTGAGGGGAGAAATGGCTTGTCGTGACCACGTTAAGATGTGCACAATGGCTCACGAGGATTTTTTTCCCCCTAAAAAAAAAGGTCTTTCTAAAGAGATTAACTGAACAAAAAAGAAAGATTTAGGTTGCAAGGAGGAGGAGGACACAGTGTTCACAAAGGAGAACCTAAGTCGCATATCCAGATCTGGAGAGCCAGAGGAGAGGGGATACAAAGAATGAAGCGGAGAAGGAAAGAGAGAAAAAAGGGGGAAAGAGCAGGGAAACTAGAAAGGAGGGGAGAAATCTGTGCTGAAAGCCCAGTGGGTCAGAACCGACGGCCAAGGCCTGGGTGGTTTAGAAACAGGGAATGGGACATTAATAAGCTTGCGTGAGAGCAAAACTAACCAGTTTCTTCTGTGGAGAAAGCCAGAGAAGATGAGAGGAGGAGAGAGGAGAGGAAGGAGACAGAGAGAGGGAGGGAGGGGAGAGATGGATTAGAGACAGCTTCCAAAATTTCTCTTCAGAGGCTGCTCCTGGCCCCCCCACTAGTCCCACTCGAGGCCCCTTGGCGCCAGGAGGAGTACCCCGAGAAGGAGGATGGGGCCTGACTCCAGGCCAGCAATGACGGAAGCCTCTTCCCTTCTTCCCCTGCCCAACCCTCCCCTGAGGCATGGGGAGGTGCGGCTGGGGGCCAGCCAACGCCTGCCCTCGGCCCTCACCTGGAACATCTGGATCATGTCTTCACAGTTGCGCTGCTGAGCCACATCGCAGAGTTTGGCGGTGATGTCGATACGGCGGCAGATGTCCATGTCTACCTTCATGGCCTTCTCCTGGATCTTCGTGTCCAGCTCTGTCAGGTTCTGTCCAGGGAACAAGGGGAACAGTGAGGAGGCACCCCGCACTCCACACAAGGGCCAAGAGGCCCTGGCAAGATCCTCCTCATCCTTCTGGCCACAGGTCACCATCGCCTCCTCCGGAAGCCGTGGCCAACTCCTGTGAGCAGCATGTGTCACGTCCCTTCTGGGTGCCCCCCAATAGCACACAGCTCGTACGCAGGCTGCTCATGCAACTGGCTCCCTAGCCAGATGGGGAGCCCCTGAAGGGTATGGCCCAGAGCCGGGGACATGTGGAGGGTCCCTCTTGGAACTTATGTTCCCAGAGGAAAATAGAGACTACTGGGAGTTACAAGAGTGGAGAACACAGTGTGATCAGGATAACACAGCTAACGCTTCTTTAGTACTAGGTATTGCCAGCACCATCCTCAGGGTGTTCCGATCTTCATAATCATTCCGCAAAGCACACGACTTCATTACCCCCTTCTCCACGAGGACACAAAGGCAGAGTGGTTAAGGAATCCGACCAAGGCCACCCTGCTGGCAAGGGGCGGAGCCCGGATCTGTGTCCCTAACTAACTGCTGAGCAAGCTCCAGTGATGATGGAGGTGTGCTGCCTCCCCAACACAAGACTTTGTTCCTTCTGTCCCTCCTGAAGTAGGGGTGACAAAGGAAAAAACGGAAGGACAGTGAAGTGGGGGAGGGGTGTGGGACAGGAAACCAACAGGCCACACCTAGCAAGGCCTGCTCAGCCTGGGTGCAGGCGCCTAGGGATCAGCCCGCAGGGGACGAGTGTGAGGGGGACGCCGGCAGCACTCACATTGCTCATAAGCCCTTTGAAGACCACTAGCTCAGCTTTCAGCTGCTCCACCTTCATCGCCAGCTCCTCCTGGCAGGCGTCAGCCTCCTGGGCCTCCTACAGCCAAGCAGAAAACCTGAGGTTAGGGGCACTGCCAGTGTGGGAGGAAGGTCAAGACAAGGAGGAACAAGGAGCCAGCTCCAGGGCCGGGGGGCAACAGGGGAGGACGGAGGGAAGCCCAGGCAGTGGGGCACCCTCACCTCCTGCAGTTCATTCACTCGCTCTTGCAGCTGTATCCGCACTGTGTACTCCTCTTCCCACCTGGCAGACATGGGAAGAAGGCAAAGAGCATAGGTGCAGAGTCCTATGCTGCCTGTTGCCCACCTGTCTGGCTCAGGCCTCAGCCCCTGGGTCTGGTTCCCTAGATAGGAAGGAGCTGTGGACAGGAATGTCTGGCCGGCCAGGAGGTGGCCAGCTGCAGCTGTCGGGCGGCTCCATGCTTCCTGGCAGTGCCGGGCACACCAGCTGCCTTCCCGGAACCTCCAGGCCACGCACTGATTATATTTAAGAGAAACTGCAGTTGCTCTGGTCCTTCACCGTGACCATCCCATTCAGGCCCCAGCCCAACCAACTGTCTGGCTGGCCTCATCCCCCACATCCTGCCCACACCAGACCACCAGGCCCACCTGCCCAGTCTCCCACCTTCAGCGGCACAGATCCAGGCTCCCGCCTCCTGCCTGCACCAGAACAGAGCTCTTCTAGCCTGCTGCCCTGCCTCGCGTGGTACCATTAACCCTGTAAAAGTAGCTGCAGGACACACACGGCATCAATAGAGTTGTCCAAGAGCTGGGAGGAGACACTCAAAGCCCATCCCCATAAGCTCTAGAAACTGCCCATCCAGAGTCCCCGATAAGGGAGCCGGAGAGAGGTGACAGTGGAAAGCAGGAGCCTGGGCCTACTAAGCACCCAAACCCAGAACAAAAGGGAACTTGGAGCATGAAAAGTGTCTCGTGAATCAGTGGATGAGAACCAGAGGTGGCATCTCCTGGGATGCAGAATCTGGAGACTAAGACCACCAGTGGGCTAACACACACTCCCAGCCACAGGCAGGGTCTCTGTCCCAGGACTAGGCTTCTCACACAGGGTAGTCCATGGTAAGCCAGTGCACGGTCTGTTACATCGCAGAGATGGAAGGCTAGTGGCGGGGGCAACATTGTACCCTACAAGGTTGGCTGGAATAGTGGAACTTCTCAGACCTCACTTATATAGCCTATCACTTCTTATCACTTACTGGAAAGGCTTCTTCCAGTCTGAGAAAGGAGGGAAACTGCACCAAGACAAAAACTTTAGTATAAGAAAGGTGGTTAAGCCCGGCTGGTGTGGCTCAGTGGTTGAGCATCAACCCATGCACCAAGAGGTCGCAGGTTCGATTCCCGGTCAGGACACATGCCCTGGTTGTGGGACAAACCCCCAGTGGGGGGCATGCAGGAGGCAGCCAATCGATGTTCTCTCTCTCTCTCCCTTTCCCTTCCTCTCTCTAAAAATAAAGAAAGAAAAAAATTTTTTTTTAAAAAGAAGAAAGGTGGTTAAGAAGTAGCAACGAGGACAGCAAGAAAATGAAAACCCAAGAAAACATATTCTGCAGACACGGGATTCAATCCTTTCTTCCCCTTCTCTCCACCTTTTTTCCCACCTCACCCTCTGCACTTTTCCCTGGCTCTCCCTCCAGTCTGGTCTCTCCTGGCTCTCCCGTTCCTCTCTCACATCTGCACTGCAGTATTCCTAAGAATAACTCCTCTACATCACCAAGGCTGCCCCTCCCAGTTGGGCAGGGAGGAGGCAGCCAGCCAGGCCACCACCCTGTCGGCTCATCAGGCAGCCCAGTGCCCAGCCTTCTTGGTTCCCTGCCCCCGCTTCCCTGCTGCCCACATCCTTCTCCCTTTTGCTCTGGCTTCTCATTCAGACAGGCAGGGTGTGACGGGCCCCAGTAGCATTGAGTTATATATTTTCTTATACAAGATCCTTATCTCTCCTGGCCTTGTTTTCTTCATCTACAACACGAAGGCTTGGGATGTGGTACCTTCGAGTCCCTGGAGGAAGAAGGCAAGACTGACAAGGGAACAATAACCCTGGACACGATGCATCAGGGTTAGGGTAGAAAGCATTGTTTGACAGTGAACTCAACAAATTCAGGTAGAGCCCTGGCCAGTTTGGCTCAGCGGTTAGAGCGTCGGCCTGCAGTCCGGAGAGACCCGGGTTCGGTTCCCGCTAAGGGCACGTACTTCGGTTGCAGTTTGTCCCCGGCCCTGGTTGGTCGTGCGGGTGGCAGCCACTCGATGTGTCCCTTTACGTCGATGTTTCTCTCTCTCTCTCCCCTCCTCTCTCTCCCCCCTACTCTATCTGTACAAAAAATGGAAAAATATCCTCTGGTGAGGATAAAAAAAAAATTAAAAAAATAAAACAAATTCAGGTAGAAACTTAAGTAAGGAAGTTATGTAAGGATTAACATTAATAAAATCTTACAGGGTAAAAAACTCTGAAAAGAAATCATCGGGAAGCTCACTAGAATTCTATTCGCACTCCAGTCAGACTTTTCCACACAGAGGTTCTTGTTGACCTCCATTCAAATCTGGTCTCATTTAGGAGGTTCCCCTAACATGGAGGATTGAGCAATTTCTGTGTATTCTACATGTACCAACCACCTCTCTTCCAAATAAACAGTATCCTTGAGTGAAGTGAAGAAGCAGGGGCTATTCCTGTACTGGAAAGACTGAAGCCAGGGAAGAGAACCACCCAAAGTCACACAAGGAAGGGGAACTGAAAATAGAACCCAGGAGGCCTCAGCTCCTTCCCTGTTTAGTGTTCAAGCTATGCCCAGGCTTTCCAGGCTACAGACAGGAGCTACAGTGTTGCTATAAAGAGAACAGAATGAGGGCAGGGGATCTGGGGTGGAAGAATGAGTAACTGCCAATGTCACGTACCATACAACTCTAGCTGTGGGGCCCTCTGCACAGCAGCATGCTGCAGAGTGATGAGCTCATCAGTCCCCAAAGAGTAACTCTTTGCTGCCCTGGACAGCTGAACCAAGGACAAACACTCTTTCTTTTTTTTTTTTTTAAATGGCCCTAAGAACAGCAGTTGTTGCTGTGGTTATGGGTGTATTTCAAAACTGTCCATGTCCCACTGCTAACTGTGTTAATGAACTCCGGCCTGGGCTGGGGCTGCTGCAAAAGCAGGCTGGGTCTGGGTGGCATCTGAATGATGATTTTAGGATAAAGGGATTCCCAAAGACACTCGTAACATGGACTACAACTAAGGAAGCCACTATGAGGACAAAACTCAGCCTCAGAAAACATGCTGATCTGTGATCGGTTAGACTCTGGCAGGTTACAGATCCCTGAAGGTCATCCCCAGACCCTGGGGTAACTTCCCAGAACATTCAGCCAATCCCCCCAGACAAATTCCAGCTACACTAAGCTACAAGGGTAATTCCCAGGCCTGCCCACAAGGGGTCAGAGTAGCTAATTAAAGGTTAAACCTGTAGGCCCCCAAACCAAAACTTCCTCTGTCATCCTTTTTGACCACGGATGGCATCAGGCACAGTCTACAGCCTGCTTATCAACCTTCTAAGGAATCCCCTTGGTATACAGCCAACACTCTGGCATCGCACCCCTACACCTGGCCTTTTGTGCTACCCTGCCAGGTCCCAGCCAAAAGTCAAATCTTCATCCTCAGAATGTACTGGGCCTGCCCCCAGCATCCTTATACTCACAGTGTGTCCCAATTCCCAACTTTCTCCTACTCAGCTCCTCTGCTGGCTCTGTTCACAAAGCCTCCACCCTTGGCTCTTTGCACTTTCAGATTCCCCGTCTTCCACTAGCCCTACAACAACTACTAGTCCCTTCCCCGTTCCCTAAGGAATTACCTTTACTCTTTCTTTCCCCAAGTTTTTTACCTACTCCAAGCAAGGCTCTGCAGTCCCCAGAGCCTCCCGTGTGAAACCAGAGCAGATACCCAACTTCATCACAACACCGCTTCGGGAAGCTCTAGGCAGGGTAGGATCACCCACTGCAGGAGCCGCCCTCCCTCACACCTCCCTTCTAATTTCACTTAGATTCCCCAACTAAACCTGCACCTTTTTTGCCTCTTACTTCTGATCTGTATGTGGAGCTTGTATCACAAAACTACCAGAGGGCTGAGACTGGTGAGGATCAGCCGTACACCAGATGTGACTTCTCATATCCTTGTCTCTTTCACACCTGACACAACCCCACACTGTCATCCAAACACTGCAGCCTAGATGAGACAGAAAGACCAGCCAGGAGAAAACTATGAAAACCCACAGTGTTCCACTCCCAGTCTCCTTGTCACGAGTCTGACTTCTGCATTTTCTGTGGGTCCAGTCTTCCGGGATCCAGTTCCATCTATCCACTTCTGCGCTCCTCCTTACACAGCAGGAACTTTACTCTTATTTTGGCCCTCCCTGATTCTTGGGCCCCGGCTGCCCTCCTCTCCACACCTCATCCTGCCCTGCGTGTGGCAGGACACTAAGCCATGTTCCCACCATCCCAGGCCCTATCCCTACCTCCGCTTGTACTCGTCCCGCTCGCGCTTCACTTTGGCCAGCACGTTGTAGAGGGCGCGAATCTCGGGGGTGATGGTGTCGATCTGAACGCCCACCCCGTCGGGGTGCACCCACGACAGGCCAGGCCCCTGCACCATCATGGGCTCCAGTCCCGGTCCGAGCCGGCGGGCGTGAGAGAAGGACCAGATGGTGCCGGGCATGAAGCGGGCCGACGAGGAGAAAGCAGCGGAGGTGGAGGTGGAGGTAGAGGTGGAGGGTGACGAGTGGCAGGCGGCGGAGGGTGCGAGGGAGCCGGCTGGCGAGCGCGCGGGCGAGAGCAGCACCCGCGCAGACGGGGTGCAGACGGCAGCCGGCCGGGAGCCCAAGTGCAGCCCCAGGGGCCGGATGGGGCTGATGAAGCCTGTCTGCACGGCCTGGTCGCGGCGAACCAGGCCCCGCCGGCCTTGCTTACCCTCCTCCAGCGCCTGCTGCAGCTGCTTCTCCAGCAGTCGGTTGCGGCGCTCCAGCTCGTGCACTTTGGCCAGGAAGCAGCGGAAGCGAAGGTTCAGGGTCTTGAGCACATTGATGTTGGAGCCCAGGTCGTTGCGGAGGGCCATGGCGGCGGGGGGCGCCGGACCCGGCCCAGGCAGCGAGTTAGGAGCAGGGCCGGGAGGGGCCAGCGGCGATGGGGACACGTCCCCACCCCCAGCGAAGTGGTCACCTCCCAGAGGGTCCCCCAGCGGCCCGCCCAGGCCTTGCTGCTCCTGCTGCAGGAGGAAGAGGTTGGGGCCGAATAACGGATTCATGGCTGCGCCTTCTGCTGGGAGATGGAGACCGGTGCAGGATCAGGGATGCAGGGCGAGGGAGAAGAACCAATGAAGCGCCCGGAGGACGCAGGACAACCAATCAAACAGCTCGATGAAAGGGGCAGAGGTCAGGGGGGCGGGGGAGGGCACAGAGAAAGCCAATGAAAGGCTCAACTTGAAGCTGTATCCTGGACTTTTCCGGGTCTGAGGCGGAACCCTGGGCTAAACAGAGCCAAAGCCAGCCCTTCTGAGTAGACCAGACTCCGGCCTGTGCTCGGAATCCAGCCAGGGTGGCAGAAAACACAGGTTTTCTCCAGTATGTCATGGGTTCAGATGGCCAGAAGGCCATCTTTCCTACACCTCTAATGCCCTCCTCTCCCCCACTCTACCTCAACTCCTTGACTCCAACTCTCCTTCCCTGGGTCCCTGGGGAGTCCCAGGCATCCCAAGAACCTAAAACTGACCAGATTTCTCAGTTACCACACTGTTCCCTCTCTCTTTTTTTATCCTCACCAGAGGACATTTTTGCATTTATATTCAGACAGAGCAGGAGGGAGAGAGGGGAGAAGAGAGAGAGAGAGAGAAACATCAATGTGAGAGAGACATCTAGTGGTTGCCACCCACACAACCCCAACCTGGCTGGGGACAAACTGAAACCAAGATACGTGGAACCAAACCCAGGCCTCTCTGGTTTGCGGGCCCACGTTCTAACCGCTGAGCCAAACTGGCCAGGGCCGTTCCCTCTCTTAAGAGGATCCCTGTCCCATCTCCACTTCTACCTTTAAAGCAGCAAAGCCAGTACCCAGTCCCCTCAAAAAACACACAGTGACCAGAGATTGCAAAATGTATATTAAATTTCATCTGCATGGTGGGAAAGCCATCCTCACAGAGGTAAGAGTTCCAACTCAGTGACAACAGCAAGGAGCCACTGTCTAGTTTCAACCATCCATCTAAGATAGCAGTGGCTGGCTGCTACCTCTGGACTGAGATTTTCTCCTCTTTGCTGGTGGAGGCCGACTAGATCCAAGGGGGGACCTGGTAGGAGTCTTAGGTCCCTTGGGTATGCCATTCTGTTTCTGGAAGGCAGCTTTCTTAGATGGCTTCTGTGGCACCTGCTGCTTTACTTTCTCAGCCCCTTGGGGAGACTGAAGGGGCTGAACACAGTTCTCAGGCTTCTGAGTGCCCTGGGTTTTGGAGAGGGACAGCCTAGAGGGTCTCTCTGTATCCATGCCCTTGAGAAGAGCACTCTGCTCCTGGAAGGCAGCTTTCTTGGAAGACTGCCGTTTAGGTGACTGTTGCTTCAGTTTCCCAGGCACCTTTGGTTTCCTGATCACTTCGGCCTGTTCAGCTGGCTGACTACTATCCCAGAGCTTGGAGGAGGCTTGGGCCTTTGTGATAGACGGTATGGTGGACAATTCAGAGTCTGCCCCTTTGGGGATATCATTCTGCTTCTGGAAGGAGGCCTTCTTGGGATATTGCCGTTTCTGCAAGTGCCACTCTGCTTTCACAGCCCCTTTGGCTTTCTTGGCAGGCTGGCTGCTGCTCTCTGGCTTGGAGGTCACCTGACCTTTCAGGTCAGGCAAGTCTGGGTTTGTAGAGGTGGATGTTGCAGAATTTCCTGGGGCTAAAATTAAACAGATTGTTTGAGGAAAAGGACCTTATCACTGGGTCTTGATCATTAATGGTAGAAACAAGTAGAGGCATTAAAATAAGGCAAACTGCCTGGGTACTCTTTCTGGGCCTAGTGGACAGTGGAACAGTGCATCAGCAGATCACCTTGTTTCACATAACTTATTATCACCTGGTCTTCACTCAAGTCCTATTCACTACCCCTCCTTGGGCCAAAAAGTTTTTAGAGGAAACTGTGCCCCCTTGAGGACAGAAAGTAGCAAGATTGAGAAGGAGATGAATCCTAAATAAAGCACTGGGCATTTTTTTTTTTTTAAGTCAAAGACAACTTTTTTTCTTGTGGATTTTGATGAGATGCAGGAAAACAAAAAGGCACACACACAACTAGAAATAAGCCAGGAAGACATATTAAATATGTACTTTCTTTTTTCTTAATCCTCACCCGAGGACATTTTTTCATTTTTTTGTTCAGATAGAGTAGGAGAAAGAGAGAGAGAAACATCGACATGAAAGGGATACTTTGAGTGGCTGCCACCCACACGACCCAACCAGGGCCGAGGACAAACTGCAACCAAGGTACATGCCCTTAGCGGGAACCAAACCTGGGTCTCTCAGGACCACAGGCCAATGCTCTAACCGCTAAGCCAAACCAGCCAGGGCTAAATATGTACTTTCAAAGTTACAACAAATTTTAACTATTTCTTAAGGTGTTTGTTAACAGATTAACTTATAAGAGACATTACTTAGAAAGAAAAAAAAAAATCAACTCAAATGTTGTTTGTATCCAGAGACACTCACCCCTCCCTCTTCCAACTAAAACCAGATTATATCCCAGCATGCAGAGCTCTAAGCCTGTTTCAAAAACCCCACCCTTCCCCCTGAGATCCAGGACAGGACAGACTCCTCAAGATGGCTGAGAAAACAATCTGCAATTAGTGTGATGGGCTCAGAGAGCCAATATTTCTGAGAAGCCTTATTGCCAACCCAATGCTGACAATGCTGGACCAGCAGAGTTCCATTACCAGTAAGGCAACTCTGGGCCAAGAAGGAAGAAAACCACAACCTGCATTGGGAACACATTCAGTGCCAAACAAGCACAACCACTTGGTAGAATAAAAGAAAAGGCCCCCATCCATAGGAGCAACCTAACATGCTCAAATGAGGTCCAGGCTCAGGAACAAATCTAGTTAGGATGAAAGGGGTCTCTTACCTAAGCAGGCAAAGGCTGTGATAAGGGTGACAGAAATCCTCCCTTCCCCCCAGTCACACTATAAAGACTCTTGAAAGGCAGAAACAATCAAGGTAGTGATGATGGGTAGAGAGCACATCCCTTACCTGTTTGCGACTGGGGAATAGAATTGGAGAATTTCTTGAACTTGGCAATAAAGAAACCATCCATATTATGGGCATGAGGGTAGAAGCGGCGGGTGGAACGCAGAGTGGGGTGGAAGCGCCTTTCTCGAAATCGGGTAAAGCCCTCATGGCCAAAGTCTAGACCTGTGGGCACCAGCCGCACATTCCTCTTTTTGAGGGCGTAGTCTACTACCCACTCATTTTCTTCCACCTGGAGAAGACAAATATGGAAGAAAGAGCAGAGCTAAAGCTGAAGGGAGCTCTAAGGGGCAAACAGTCTCCCAGCCCTGCACTCCTGCTCTGCCATGGCAGAGGCCTCACCATGATGGAACAGGTGCAGTAGACGAGGTAGCCTCCTGTTTTGGAGGTGGCATTGACAGAGTCAATAGCACTCAGGAGCAATTCCTTCTGAAGGTGAGCACAGCGCAGGATGTCCTTCTCATCCTGTCCCAGGACAGAGACCCAAGGGTGTCAGAATTTCAAAAGGTAGCCTCAGGAAGAGCAGTGAGCTGCTGGTTATCCAGAGTGACCCTCCACCTCCCATTCTGGCTCTGCAAGGCCCAGCCAAGACCTCTCAGCTACCCCCACCCCACCCCAGCTCCTCACCTTGTTAGTCTTCACAGCTGGGTCCTTGGAGATGATCCCAGTGCCACTGCAGGGAGCATCCAGCAGTACTCGGTCAAAGCCCCCTACCACCTGGGGGAAAAGGATTGGTTAATCACTTCTTTTTAGTCACTTATACTGCACCATTTATTTCCTAGGGGCAAGTCGAAACATTCTGATGTCAGGAAGGGGACAGGTGAACTGGAAGACACCTCAGGAGAGATGCACAGAAGAGAGTCCCACCTTGGGGAACTGACGCCCATCATAGTGGCTGATAATGGTGTTGGTGACTCCCAACCGGTGCAGGTTACCCACAACACTCTTGAGCCGCTCAGCATTGGCATCATTGGCAAGGATCACACCTGTGTTCTTCATCAGCTGGGCTGAGGGAAAGCAGGGTACAGTGCTCAGCAAGCCAGCTCCTTTGCTCCCGCTCTTACTAACCACTCTCCAGCCCAGGAATCCACAGGTGAAGAAATCTCAGTACCTCAAGGCAAACTTATTCCCAATAAGCCCTGCTCCCTACTGCATGCATCTCCCCAGTCTGCACTGACTGATGAGCAAGCTCATCAACACAGGTTTTTCCACTGTTACTGAACATCTCTCTGGTTCTACGGACTAAGTTACTTCTTTTAAGTGATAACAGCTTTATCAAAAATGGTTACAACTAATTACTATGCCAAGGACCTCTACATGCACATCTCAACCCTCAAAACCCAAGCATAATATAATAGCCAATCCAAGCACAATTACCAACATTTCACAGGTGATAAAAGAAAATCAAAGGCTTGCCCAAGGTCCTAAGTGGCACCTACAGGGGTGGAACTCCGGGCCAACTCCAGAACCTATGCTAACTGTCTGTGCACAGTTTCCTGAGCACTAATGAGTCGCCAACCCCATCTACTTTCAAGAGCAGAAACCCAGATAAATCCTATCCCTGCCTGCATCTCTCATACCTATGTAGCTGGTCTTTCCTCCAGGGGCACAACACATGTCCAGGATCCGCTCATGTTCCTGGGGTGCCAAGGCCATGACAGGTAACATGCTGGAGGCTCCCTGCAGCATATAGTGCCCAGCCAGGTACTCGGGAGTAGCGCCTATGGAAGAGGACCCGTTTGTGACATGCTGGGAAAAGGGCAGGGGCTGAAGGGCTACTGGGCAGGAAACACTCACCAATGGGCACTGAGGAATCATATACCACTAGTCCAGTCTTTGACCATTTGCCCAGGGGATCCAGGTTAACCCCACGATTGATTAGTGCCTGAATGTAAGAAGAATGAAAATATTTAAAGCCTTATAGGTTACTATACCCAGAAAACAGATGGAGACATGAAAACCTGGTCCTATCAGGAAGTCTGTGACACAACTTCTAGAGCTCTTAAAACACAATCACCAGAGACTCATTGAACGCAATTTCTCCTC